GGCATCAACCCCAGCTACACTCTTCCTTCTAGAAGAGTAGTCTCAGATAGATTGTTGCAAAAGCGTTATAGTGAGTGTCTACTGGAGCTGGGAGAAGAGTTGAAAAATGCCGGTGATGTGACAATAAGTATGGATGGATGGGAGATTGTGTCTAATAATTCAATTTATGCTGTGATGGCTGTCAAAAGTGTAAAATAGTGGATGGTAGATATTATACACTTCACAGGATATACACCAACAGCAAATGCATTGCAGCAACAATTGATACTGTCAACCAATAAAAGCCTTCTTCCATTGATAGTAGTTGTTGCCTTTGTGTCAGATAGTCCAACAACTATGATAAGATTAAGGAACAATCTCGCAAGCTCAAATCCGAATATTGTTCCCTTGAGATGTGCTCTTCATCAACTGAATCTTATCACAAAAGATGTGTCATCTCATGATACTATGAAACACGTCTTCAAAAAAACTGCAAGTTGATTAACTTTTTTACAAGTTCTCACTACAGGCCTATACATCTCAAGACATGGGGTGGAGAAAACAATATTAGAAAATTTCTATCTAGTTTTTGCAAAACACGGTGATATTCGGCCGTACTTGTATGTCTTGGTGTTGCATCCTATTAGAAAGTATTTCAACATTGTGTCAAAAAATCAAAGCTACCTAATGAGCTTACCATCAACAAAGATATTTTCAAATTGGTGGAGGATGATTATCATTTTGCAATGAACAAAGAACTTTGCAAACTTATTAAGCCCATAGCTGATAGTATAGCTCGTCTTGAGCAGAGTTCAACCACATTAGATCAGATTTTTGTAGAACTGATCAAATTATACACAGTTGTAAAGGATACTGATGTTACTAAGAACTGCAGCATTTTCAAAGCTCACATGATCAAGATTATTTGAAAGAGAGCTTCTGAATTTGATCATTCGATATATTTTATAGCTCTTTTCTTGAATCCTCAGTATCAATCGGTTGCCATCTCCAAAAAGAAGACATACAACAACATTCGAAAAGATATTGCAAATCTTGCAAAAGGCTGCAGATTCCCCAAGGCGGACACAATATCTCTTCTAGCGGATTTGAACGAGTACACCAATCGGAGTGGAGCTTTCACAAACGGTCAACTCAAAGACTGTGCAATCAATTTTTGGCAATCACTTGTTGGTGCAAATGCTTTGCGTGTTTTTGCTTCGAAAATTTTTTCCATTGCTCTTCATAATGCGGTAGTGGAACAATTGTTTTCACAGCTCTCATTATCAAAAACAAAAATTTGCAATCGCATGTCAGTCGAACGCATGAAGATGCTTGCCATTGTTAGATCAAGTCTTAACTTACATTCAAAACCGAATTCAAGATCATCTTCATCGCTAGCCCTAGAGCAAGATAGTTCATTTAATATAGCACTTCAAGAAGATGAAGATCTTAACATGATACCGGCCGTTGAATTGAGTTTGGAAGATCTAGATTTTACTTGCAAGGATAATGATGATTTTCATAAAGATTTTGATTCATATTTTGATTTTGTTAGATTTAGACAAGAGTCATTTCCATATCTAAATGAAACAACAATAGAAACTCAGACAATAGTGATAGATGAAGAAGATTCGAATGTAGACGACGTATTAGTTTGAGAAATGTAACAGTATGATTTTATATAAAGTCAAGTTTTTATTTGTGAATAGTTCAAAATAGATATATGTATAATTTTTTATATACATACGGGCATGTCCAGGGGCATGGGGCATGCCTTTCAAGGTTAAAAGGCACAAGGGCATGCCTCCGGAAAATTACGCGTGCCAACCATACTTGCGTGGCTTCAGCTCAGCTGCCAAAGCTGGACAGTTTCTCATCCAGTGTTCCTTAGAATCACAATTGTGGCATTCGCTTGCCGTATTCTTCTTGTAATTGTGTCGAATATCGCTGGTTGTTGACCTGCGTCCTCAAAAGCTCTTCTTGTTGTTCGTCAACAGCGCTTCTTGATCGCTACGCTTGCCATCCTTAATCTCTCTTCGTATGTCATCTTGTAACAAGATGACGGTGTGCTCAACAACTGTGGGCAGCGTGGGTCGGTACATGACAAAATTCATCAATGCTTCATAACTCTCATCAAGACCATTGGCATTTGTTCAAAGATCTCAGAGTCGTTGATGACCTCTCCGATACACGCAAACTCATTAACGAGTTCTTTGACTTGCTTCAAGAATTTGGTAATGTTAGCTCCTTTGTCCATCCTCTGATTTGAAAGCTTTTGTCGGAGTAGAATCTTTCTGGAGTTGGTTTCGCTGGCGTATAAGTCCTTCAAAATCTTCCAACTCTGTACTACTGGCAATGTACAGATTTATATTATCTTTTACAGATAGGACTCTCATTGTTAGAGCTCTATTCTTTAGTACTTGCAAAACGTCTATATCATCTTGGGCGATAGGTGCCAATGTTCCAACTAGAGGATCAAGTACTTGCTAGATGTCTATATCATCTTGGGCGGTAGGTGCCAATGTTCCAACTAGAGGATCAAGTACTTGCTAGATATCATCTCTATTGAGTATGTTACGTAGCTTAAAACTCCAAACTGCGTTGTTTGAAATCTCTCTAACTTGCTGGCTTCTCCAATGAGTGCATCTCTATATGCCATTGCTAACAAGTGATACTGGTGATCTGCTACAGTTGTCAAGTGAGTGACTCAGTTCCTGCTAGGGTGTCAGCAAACAATGTGAGATCTGCTCTTATACCATGTAAGATAACGAGGTCTGATTGACACAATGATAACATGCTATACTCAAAATGCAAAATACAATATATTGTGAGTGTGGGACGCAATCCACTTCCTTGTTTGCAAATTCGAGTGTCTACTATTGATAACCTCAACTTAAATGCTGCCAATCAGATGCTGAGCTTTCCGTTCACACAGCCGCCAGTCTCACCCACCAGCTTCCCATGAAACACTCAGCTGTTGGGTCGTGACCATGTCAGCAGGGTGGAGTTGAGTCACTCAAAGTGACACATGGACAATCTCCAAACTGCCAACACAAACCATGAAGGTTAGTTTGTTAGTTTAACAATAACCCAAGTTAGAAAAATCTTCAATAAAAAATTGTCGACGAAGGACAAAACTAAAGACTCGCCCAGAACTTCCAAAATTGTCATATTTTCAAAAATTGTCACAAATTGTAACAATGTTTGTGTCTTACAAACACCGAGCCAAATCATAGCTCTAAAATCATTTGTTAATGCAAAACAAGCAAGTTAGAGCAAACGATTTACACAAGATGTAACGTGGTTCACCCCTTTGAAGCTGCTACGTTCACGAAGAAAAGCTCACACGTGAAAAGTATACTCAAAGTGTGTCAAATGATACACAAACCTTGGGGTGTATAAACTTCAAGTCATAGCTAAAAATAGCTAGAAGATCCATTCTATCTATTTTTAGCTAGAACTTGAGGTTACTCTTTGTTCAAATTGAGTCCAAACACGAGACACAAAAATAATGTAGTTCACCTTCAATAGGGTAGTTACGTCCACCGAGAACATCCAATGCTTTACCCCAAGTCTTGTCACAAAAGACTCATTGCATAGTGCAGAACCAAGGTATTCAACTCTAATCCAGGCCACCGTTCTAGCTATAAATAACTAGATCTAAGGGTATTGCTTCACCGGAATCACCCTCAACATGCCATTTACATACATATACGCATAGAAGCATATTCATTGCAAGATTGAGATTTTAGTGTTGCGCAATTTGCATACTTTAAGAACATTTCAAAATAACAAATACATAGAGTTTATTATATTTCAAAAAATTATCTTACAAAAATCTGATCAGTTGTGTACATTAACATGTCTTATATAATATGTGATTGTGTCTAGATATCATATAGTCAGCCCTAATCCCTCATTAGAAATCAGATTGGAATATTTCAAAGCTAACATTTTAAAATAATCTGACCATTTAGTGTTTTAGCAAATTCATTTAGTGTTTTTTGGGAAATGAATTTGTTGGTATTATTTAAATCAGAAGAAAAGAGAAGTGTATGTGTGATGTGGTTAGATGAGTATATACACTAATAAAGAATTTAAATGAAGAATGTTATATGGTTGGAGACAAAATTTTTAATATTGGTTCTCACCATGCATTCATTAATCATTAACCTTCACAAATGGTCATCTTGAGGGTTTTGGTTTTATAGAGAGGGTCGTTTGTACGGTGAAGAGAAGACACGGAAAGTTAAGATGACAGACTTTCATCATTAGGAGATTGCAACATTATGCTAATTCGCATAATCGTGGACTTTAGATTAAGTCAACAATCTTACATAGCATATACTTCATCATGATTTGTTTTACATGATATAGTTTCATACTGACTTGTAGCTAGTCAGAAAAAGCGAGTTGCAACCTAAAATTTAGACAACCTAGAAGGTGATTTTTGTGGATAATTTTCTTTTATATAGAGTAGTGCCCAATGGGCACTACTCTATAGCATGGGCACTGCCCAAGCTATTTGAAGAATTGCAGATTGTTATTCGTAGAGACACTTTCTGTAAGGTTAAACTGAGGGGAGTTGCATTTCACTTTCTTCTCACAAAGCTCATATTTTTGACATAGTTTATTCATGAAATGGCAATACGTACGTGAAATGATATGGTTCATCCGTAGATTTCTATGATCTTCTGAGGTTTAGTACCTGAAAAAATTTTGTAATACAGTAGTTGGATTATTCTTATGATGGTTTTGTTACTTTCTCTTTGGAATGATGATGTTATGAATCCAATCTTGGAAACTGTACATAGATTTAAGAAGAATGTGCTTTATGATATATCGTCTGGTGTGTTCTTATTTACTTAATTCAGATACTTGGGTACACCGAAAGCGCAAATCCATCGTGTCTGAATGACTGGGCACTGAATGCAGTCCATGGGGATCAGTACCTAGCAGAGCGTAAAAAAGCTCCAGGTCGAAAAATGCAGCAATAGATGGAGACTAGGGAGCGGTCGGAAATGGGCCCATTCGAGAGATGGACACGTGAAGGTGGGCGAGGGCGGGCGGGCGGGCGGGCTGGAAGGGATGCCGAGGGGGCCTCGGATCTCGGGCACAGAAATCGCCGTGGGGAACATGCAGTCCAAACGAGCGGCCCCCATGTGCACCAGCAAGCAGGCAGAGCGGAGAATCTGCATAATGATGGACGGCGTTCGCGTTGGGAAGGGACGAAGCTCGCAGTAATGCTATGCTGGCTTGGGCCTGCTGCGCCGGTATGGCTGGAGGACTTGTGTCAGAGCTCGGGAGACCGGCTGAATTCGGTGGCATTGACTCCATTCTCGCTTTCGATGATTCGATCTGATTTGAGCTGGAGCTGGATGCGTATCGCACGAGCGTTTGGATGTCCGTCGCGCAGCTCTTTTCTGAACCACGCGCCGCGCAACTGACTGCGCTGAGTCCTTCTCCGAATCGGATTTCGCGACTGTAGGAACTTGTGAGGAATGCGCATCCAACGTGAGCTGATGCGATCTGGATTCTCTTGACACTTGCAGGTCGCGGTAGGAGCTTGCTGTCAGTACGTCGAAGATGCTCTCACTCGGACGAGGTAAGCAGGCATCGTGGCTGAGGTAATCGAGCGCGTTCTGTCGGTTACACGTTGTGAGCTGACTTCAACCCAATTTGTGAGCACGGTCAATTTGTCATCTTGTGACGAGGATCCATCCCACAATCCCATGAGAATGTGAGACACAACAGAGGAACCACCCAGTGAAAGTGCGACCCATCTACTTGCCCTCCAACTTACAGACGGTGTGCAGATCGAGGCCTTGGATGTCCGCGAGTCACATCTGCTAGTTAGTCCCTTGCGTCCTCGCCTCGGATAGACGGTCGCTGATATGGATTTGTTCTGATATGCCAGTGAAGACTCGGCATGTACGTCAAGTTTTTTGGAAACAATCTCGACTGGCTGCCCTTAATGATTCAAAGAGCTCCGACCAGATCGAAGTCCTGCACTGACAAGAGCAAGCCTTCACGACGGGTATGGACTCGTTCCGTCCAATGAGAAATTCGACATGTTGCTCCTTTAATACTCTACAAACATCGACGACCATAAGTTCACACCATATGTGGCCCAAGAGGTGGTACAGACCATTCCGGGTCCTTGTATCAGGGACTACATTTCAACAGCATTCTGACATCAGATGACTGAGACTACAAGGTAGAGTAATAATGCAGAGAAGACAATTTTTTCTTGTCGAATAGCCAGACGAATTCGCGAACAGAGTGTTGGGACGATGAAAGAACAGAAATGAAGATGTTTGTAGAACTTGATCCACATGTTACTCACGTAACCCTCAACGAAACAACATCTGCAGTTATAAAGGAAGCCAATCCTTTCAAACGCAGCACGATGTGATAGTATTAAAAGTGTAGAAGATTTGTTCTGTTCGCAGGATCCATTGCAAAAGGCCGGTCTACAAATGTCCAGGGTGCCATCTCTGGGCCAAGAAATAAAACCAGTCCTAAAAGAATATGCTGTTGTGCAAGCAAAGTTTATACGTGAGGCTCTTCTGTAATGAATGGTCTATACAAAGAGCTAACTTGGTAGATATTTGAGCAGCACGACGACTTCGAACCTGCTGAATTAATACTCTCGCTCAAGAAATTCAGCTAATTCAACCTCCTCATCGATTCCACTAGCATCTATTTTAGGCTTACGTTTTTTCTTAACTAAATTGACTCTATACATTGGCGGTTTCCCAACTCTTTTGAAAATAGGAGCCTGCATAATCCATGACGGCATACGTAAGAATCACAATTTATGCAGCGAGAAAACAATTGATGGGATGATTTGTAATGGCGAGCATCCGCAAATGCCAAAGTAGCACTTAGTACTTATCTGCAACATTGATCGTATTCACTTACAAAACTCTCGCAAATGAATAAAGGAAATGAACGATGAGTGAGGCGTTTGTATGTGTGTATACACACCCTTGCACGCTCTAAACTTCGTAGACGACGAGCTTCGTGTTCTTGGCGTAAAAGCTCTAGTTTTTGTTGGCGTACTTTCAATCTCCTTTCCTTCTCTCGAATTCTCTCTTGCTGCTCCACGTACTCCGGAGGTATATGATCTATACCTAGAAGATTCTCCTCCAATTTTGCCTGCCAAAGCATACGGCGTTAAAATCTAACTCTCCTCTTTAGATTTTACTTCTCCAACAAACTGAAAGTCTTCACTCAAAAACTTCTTGAATTTACTTGTGAAGAAACTCGGAAATTAAGGAAGAGCCTGCGTACTGGCCAGCCACCTAGAGCTCAAAACTGCCATGTCTCTCAGATTTGCTAAGGGACAACAGAAGGGGGAAACAATAAAGACGATGAGGAAACAAGGGCAGCCTTCAACTCCAGTTTCTGAATCAAAATTGCTTTCAGGTTAAAGTCACCAGTTAAGAATGGATGAAGGAACTCGGTAAAGCATGGCAGAAGTGTACTTCCAAGTTGGTCAGCATCTGAAGAGTGCTCAAAGACGCATCGCTGTCCAGACCAGCCCTTGCGTATACCTCCACGACCTTTCGTGTCAGTTGTTCCAAGGAAATATCATGTTTCTTGTCTTCTGTATTCAAACTAGTCTTTGACTGCATCATCCGCTGCCTCTCCTCTTCATTCTTCACAGCGGTCTCGATAACCTATTCGCCACGAAGGGAGAAGTAAATACCCAGCATTTCTACATGACTATCACACGGACACGGGAAGCCAATAAATAATTACTCTCTACGTGCGAAATTAACACTGTCAAGTTGATACGTCAAGCAACAGTAATATAAAAAGTAATAAAATAAATTGAAAAAACCAGGAAGTCGCTTTATTACAGAAGAAACTTGTAGCTCTAATATCAGGTACCTCGTCTAGTCTAACTACAAGTGCTCCCTGAGTTAGCAGCCTGGTGCAGTTACAGACCTCTTGACTCCAATAATTGGCCAGTGTAACAAGCAAGCCACTTGCGAAAGGAAAGAGAGGATTGAAGCAGAATGCAGCTCATTCACTAGTAAATCAGAAGATTTTCTGGTGAACAGAAGATCCTGACAAGGGCACGATGACCATAACATGCCTGTAGCTGGGAGCGCAAGCCAGAAATTTTGAGATCATTTTTCCCTTGTGTTTCACGGAGCTTAGTCTTGAGGTTTTCCAAAGCACCTTCAACGTCCTGGCTCTGCTGCATGAGGGCTAGGTTTTCCACTTCAAGGTCACTGAATATCTCCAGAAGCTGTCATCAATACAAAGAGTTTTCTACCCATCAGACGGGAGTTGATTGTCCAGACTTCTCACAATCGGGCGTCATACTTTTCAGGCCGACCTAATGCTTCAGCTCAGTCGTTAGGGTTTGCTTATTCAAGGTGGATATTTCCCCTTCCTAATCAGGAAACACTTTTGTGAGCGTCGGCATCTATCATCAGCAACCTCGACAAGCATTTGGAACGATGAGATCGCATATATGTCAGTAAATGGAGAGAATGAGAAGGATGCTGATTAGTTATGCACCTGGTGAGGCTGCTGAAAATACATGGTCTCCTCTACTTCAACCTCATCATCAATATCATCTACAGGGGATGAGCTTACAGCGTCGTGATCTCCTATTTACACAATTGGCGACGACATATCTAGATAAGGTATTTGGGTAAAGATGATGACAAAAACACCAGGGAAGGGAGATAATTATATAACCTACATCATGGAACATTCAAGTATAGTATCTTAGCTGCTTTCCAACCAGAGTCCCTTACAAACCCCATAAGTGAATCGGGTTCACTACGGTACCTTACATATACTAAAAGAAAACTAATTTGGCTTTGTTTTTGCTGATGACAACAATGTCCGTAACAAGCACATCAACTACTGTAATTTCCGACCGGCAAGTGTCATGAAGTACGAGACGCAAATTGCTGTGGGGAAAGACCATTACTGTGATGGACATTTCAGTAGATTGCAGAACGAGTGACCAAACTGAGAACTCACCTCCTGTAACAGGTCACCCATCTTAAAAGCAAAAGAAAGACAAGATTCACCTTGACCAGCCACAGCTCCAACGTATAGTCTAAACATGAAGAAACTAAGTAGAACATGTACCACTAAGCATGGACATATATTACGTCATTACGTTAGCTTGGGTATAAAGGAAACGAAACTAATGATATCGACGATTTTCAGCACTCCGTATGGTCCAGGAAGACTGTCTGCATATGCGAAAAGTTTCAGGAGTCGTTCATGTGAAAGAGTCGGTAGATGATTTTTGGGAGTAGGCTCAGTGTCGATTTCACAAGTCGACGATATCATTCATCCTGGTACATTATGATGGAATAACGTAGAATATTTAATGCATCCATTCACGGAGATTTCAAAACCATGGTCACTTTTCCCTTGGGTTATCGTTGTGATTACAGGACAGTGCAGGTAAGAAATCGGATCGTGACCAGTTCACCACCCGTTCGGCAATATACCCGAGATCGGGTTCATTTAATTGAAGTGTTTATTTATTCCACAATGCTTTCAGGCCATGACAGATACAAACCAATCAATGGAGTTAGTTAGAAAAATTGAGTGACAAGCTTCATGTGAATGGAGGACACAGGAGGCATGAATTTCATATTAAAAGCTAGTAAGTACTGATTGTTTTATGGATTAAGTAGAATACAAGTGGGCCTACCGTGGTATTTGCTCCTGTCACTGGTGGTGGAAGAATCTCCAGCACTCTTTAGAAGCTGTCGAGCTTTTAATGCTTCCAATTCTTGAGCTTGCTGTTTAATTTTTGCTTGTTCTTCGAACCACTCTTTTGGAGTAAGCTTGATCAGGAAATCCTTGTACTTCTTGCAATCGTCCAATTGTTCTCCAAACTGGCGTCCAGTTCTGATATATTGTCGTTAATTCTCAAACTGTGGTGTCTTCATGTATTAATTTCATGAACCAGAACTTCTTCGAGATATAACTTTCCAGATAACAGAAAACGTTACGCGAAGGGAATCCACCAAATCTACCGGCATCTTTGAAGAATGAGATCAGACTCTTTGAGACATATCAGGTGTCCAGCATATGTCGTCAAAATTGCTTACCTTATTAAGATCACTGTTGATAGTAGCGATGGCACTGTTCAGCTTCTTGATTTCTATGATCTGTGGAGGCACATACTCAGCTTTAGTTCGTGGACATATAAGGCGATCGTGTAGATCCAAATGTACGATCATACAAGCCAGAAGTATTTTGGGACGAGGTAGATACTCCAATTCAAAAGTATTAAAGTCGAACTGGACTTTAGCTGTACAGAAAATACATTATACTCAAGTAAGAGAATCAAACCTTATCTTGCCTTCGCTTAGTCTCTTGTTCCGCCGTTTTAACAGCTTCTTGAACCTTCAATCACAAGTGCCCTCAGCCAATTCACGTACAGTAATAGGTAGTTGAAGAAAAAAGACCTGAACGTCATCAAGCTAAACATAGCGTTTTGAAAGAGTTCTGATTAAACTGGATGCAATCGAAAGAACAGATGCATCTCAATACAGTTTTCTTCGTAGTATGTCATTTGAATAAAAGATGGAAACGCAGCTCCTATATCACAAACTCGGCACGTCTAGGAGAAAATCTTTCAATTCCGGGTAACAGACAACAATCTGACGATTTCCAGAGTCACTCATATAGAGAACGTAAACAGCTAGATTTTCCGAAGTCCTATAACGGACTACTAGAGTAGAGTCTCCATAGTTCAATAGCATTTGAGGTAGGTGTAACCGCTTCTCATAGACCGATTCCAGATGAACTAACCGCTGCGTCATTTCGTTTCAAAAAAGCATCGAACTCCAAACTATCTTCCTCCAGCATTCCTTCACTTTTCTTCAAAGCCTGGATATGTTCGACGGTGTTATCCAGCATGACTACAGCAAAATATTCTCTGAAAGCTTGGTTAAAGTGGGTCTCGTTAGATGTTTTTCTTTAGAGGACCGAATGTAACTATCTCTCACTCTCATGATTCCACTCTAAACATCAATCAACTTATGTTCAGCAACATAGTCGTTGATATGTGAATGGAAAATTTGATCTTTCTTGCCTTTAACAAGTTCAGGAAAAACTGAAAAGCTTAGAGTCATTCTGGTTTTCCTTAAACTTCAGTCACTCAGAGCTGAAAAGTAAAGTACTCATTTCACCTATTGATCAATGAAAAGAGAAATAGACCTCTTCGCGCTGAAAGATTCTGTCCTGTAACTTGCGGATCTCAGCCCGTCTGGTGTCTAAGCTCATTTGCACCAGGAAAATTTCTCGTTTCTTAGCCACAAATTCCAGTACAGTTTCCTGCACCGCATTTCATAGCAATGCTTCAGATACAAATATGCATGAGATACGTGAAACATTATGTACATATATAAGCATGTATATGATGGCACAACATGAATACATGTATTTTCTGGCAGTAAGGATTTCTCCGTTAAAAATCTAACAAGGCCTTTTGATTCTAAAATGAAAACTTGTCTTACCTCATCTCGATGATAGAATACAGTCTGTAGCGCTGGTTTAGGCAGTTCCTTGTTCAACCGCAGGAGCATGTTCTCCCATTCTTTTTCCAGCTCTCTAAGAATCTGTATCAAGGAGCATATTTAGCCTTCTAGTTGTGCTTTCCTGTTAAAAATCTGACGCTATTGATGCAGTTGCAAATAGCACATTACAAGAGAGCACAGAAGACAGTGCTGCTAATCCAAGATAAGCTCCAACTTTTAAACTGATTGCTAACTGCGTAACAGGAATGCAGTGTTGATATGCATATATCTTGAGCTGTTCCTTTACTATATGTATATGAAATACCCAACCTTAAAGAATACTAGAAACCTAGGGTCCGCCGATGCTGTATCCAGGTGACACACGTATCACATGTAAAAAAGGACACTAATGGACTTACTAGACTTCATTAGACTATAATTAGGTTCAATACAGACCCAGAGCAAGCGACGCGCTAGAAGAAATTAAAAATCAGACAAGAATTTCTTAAGGGAAAGACCAATCCAATCAGACTACCAAAGCATGTACGAAAGATGTAGATGTGAAGCAGCTCCTTTTCACAAAAGCCCCTCGTGTGATTAGAAAATCTACGTTGGTGAAAACAGCAGATGAAGTTACCATGCGTGAAGAACATACTGCAAACTCTACCAACAATACTCACAGAAATATCAACCAGCGTAAAGAAGAAAACAAATACATATCAGCAGAACAGTATGTAGGTTAATGGGCCAAACTTTAAGGGTTTTTGAAAGCTAAAAGTAGCCTTTTAGTGTCTGCAGCGAAACGTTCCACTTAAACGACACATTTCCAATCGCTTGTACGAAAGCCTGAGCATCTCCCGATTCGAGCAGAAAAATCTAGGTAGTCTGAATATTTTGTTACAACTACGACGGTCCACGTCAGAACCCTGTCACGATGCCTTTTGCTCAAGTTCAAAACCGGAGAAAATGTCCACAAAGGATGCATCGGAAACAGGAGTACATACTAGAAAAACCAATTGGCTATGCTCACTGTTCCTCTAAACATAGAAGACAGAACACTCTTGCTTTCAACACTCTCTCTTTGCCTCTCTCCTTTTGGTCATTCTTTGCCTTCTCTCTTTTCTCTCTCTCTGGTCTTTCATTCTATTTTCAATGAGTTCTGGTCTTTTCCATCTTAGCCTTCAGACACTAGAGCCTTATGAAACACACAAACACACACACTGGACTGTAACCTGACGTAAAAGTAGAACGTGCTTAATGGAACATGCAGAACAGATAACAGGAACGCAAGTTGGAGATGGCAAGATGCAATATGAAGACACCTCAAAGGGGGCATTATGCAAACGTAGTGTGTGTGCAAAACAACAGCAGAACAGACAAGCCGTACTGGGTAAACGTTCTCGAAATTTAACAGTAAATACTAATTTCGCAGTATCGTATCGCAGTGATCTCGAGTTGAGGATTTTAGTGCCAACTGCTTCCAACAAAACCTGACCTGGCGACTTCAGCGTTCCCAGCAGCAAGCAGACGAATCTCCCACGAGTTCAAGCAGTTGAATGTACTGAGAACCGACATACAAACAAAGTAAAGAAAAGAGGCACATCTAATTGAGAAATCTGAACACATGAAAGGTCACCTGGAAAACATGCGTAGGAAGACTATGAAAATAGCACATTCTCCCGTCAGAACGATCAGGAAGTACTTCAGAAAGTAAAGTCAGAAGTGCCTCCTAGAAATCATGTACACTTACAATGAAAGGCTTACAATAATACAAGGAAACAATATTGGTTTTTTGAAGAAAAATGATTCGATTCTAGTCATCATTTTGGTATTGAGGACGAGAGTGTACGCGAATCTAAAAGCAAAGGAAGTTGGTATTGTATGAGGCCACGCGGGCAGGATGACGAAGTCGCGACTTAGCTGAGAGAAAAAATGGAGAAGTGGAGAGATGGGAGATGGCACTTGCCTTCAGCAGTTCTCCACGAAGACAATGCATGACAGCAAAAGCTATATGAACGGAAGGAACTGTGAGTACAAAAGAGATTGGAAAATTTCTTTGACATGGACAACCACTGAAAGACTGAACCGTGACGAAAAGAAGCATTAAACCTTTCGCTTTCCCCATCCACGACGGTCGAAAGTTCAGCCTTGAGACAAACTTCTACTCTAGAAGATTGGACATGTGCTCGCCACTGTCATACCACTCTCAGCTTTTCCGATCCAACTGCAGCTCCCATCCTTGAAGCGAAAGTTGTTTTCTCCCGAACAGACCAGGCTGCTTGTTCTCTTCGCTCTTTTTTCTCTCTTCTACGTTGGGCGTCTCTGATGCGGAAAACTCTGTCGTCGTCTGGCATGACAAAAGGATCCTTTGCCCACTCCCTGTAGACAAAAGTAGGATACGGCTGATTGCAAATTATTATCCTGCATGAAGAATCCTCATGCAACTGCTTTTAAGGCGAAGAGCAAATTGTTGATTGAGACAGCTGACAAGTATTTCTGGACAATTGTGCAGTTTTGGGCCATCCATTGATATTAAATTCCCAAAAATTATATTTAAGCCAGTAAAGGAAGACAGGACCCAAATCTGTCTCTAGACTTTTCCTGAAAACGAAAGAGCTACTTTAGCTGTTGATACAGTATTGCTGACCTGCAAACCTCATCCTTTTCCCAGTCCTCCGGCACAACAGGCTTTTGAATTTCCACATCCTCGTGCAACTCTTGAACTTCTTCGGACATGTATTCCAGTTCTTCTTCGAGAAGTGCCTTGATGTGCCAGAGAACAAATCTGGTCAGCGTTTGATGCCTTACATCTTCTTCGCATTCTACGATATTTAATTTCGATGATTCCCGTCCGCATACAATAACAATTAGATAAATCGGTAAACTGGTAATCTAAGATTAACAAACAAACTCCCAGGAGCATTCCATCCGCAACCCTCATACCCCATGAGAGACGAGGAACCACAAGATGACCACCAGACGTTGGAATGACCATGCAGTCTTCCCAACCTGTGCACACCTTCTGGTACGATGGTACCAAGTGTTTGGTTTCTGTTGAGTCTAGAGCGTAATTGACACTATCAGCAAGGTTCCATGACAGTTTGATAGACACAGCCAATCAATAAGCCAGTTAATGGGCCTTACATTGGGATCACCCCGCAGGTAGGAACCAACGGATGATTTTCTTGGTCCGATTTCAATGTCGAATGTGTCTGGTGCCTGCGGGTAGCATATAACAAACCAGTGAGTAAAATCCAAAAAGAGTATATAGTAGGTACAAGATACGGATCCTAGGATCAAGCTTAGGTGAACACAACCTTTACGGCAATTATGCCAAATTTTCGAAGAGGAAAAGGTTAACCTATTTGTAAAAGCTGTGAGAAAACAGAGGGCCAGCTTTTGGCCCTCTGTTTCTTGTAATGGGTCTTGCAACAATTGGACAAAGATATCGAAGGCCCTGATGACCCTGAACTTTATGGACGGAATTTTTCGAAGAAGCAGAAGGCAGCCATGAGACATTTTAGGCGTATGCTGGCGGGCCTGGTTTATTTGAGGTAGTTTTGCTGTTTCGGTGGACTGTCCTACTGAGAGAGATTGAAGAGCACCTTGAGAAATGAAGCGTCTGGAGCAAGAGCCCTGAGGAAGGCATCAGCTTGGCTTTGGGTACGTGCTCGAATCAACGCATCCGCTTCACTGACTGTACGAGTTTTAAAAAACATGTCCGTCTGGCTTGGACTTCTCAGTGAAATTCCTCTCATAGGAACTGGCGGAGTTGTGCTTGTGTCAAAATTCACATGATTCTCAGGCGCAGCATCAGGGTTCGCAGGAGAAGTCTCCTCGCTGGTAGAAGAACTCGAGTGAGTGGTGCCCGTAACATTTGTGCTGGCCGCTGAGACCGTCATGATTCACAATCTATGTCGGCCTCCTGAATTTCGTCTTTGAATTGCAAGTAGGCCAAGTCAGGAACTAGAGCGTCAACAGCCAGGAACTTCGGAACGAGCCATGCATCTTGCAAAGGTCTTCATGATTTGCCGCATTTGGCTTCATGATTCCTACAGAAAGGACTCGCACTGAACTTCGGCAATTCGATGAGACAGTGGAATGATATAGGTCCTTTCTAGTGCTTCCACAGAGAGCTTCTTGGACACAACTGCTCCCTGAAATCGACCCTGTTAATTACCGATCTCAACGAACCCAAGCTTTCACGACATACGCGCACCACGCGTGGCTTTCGCAGCGTAAATCCATCGCTGGAAAATGATCAAAGCAACTGCTTCGTCCATAATCATTTTCTCGCATGCCTATTTCTGGTGACGGACCAGCGAGTAGCCTGCACAGAGGAGAAGATTTGCGACGAATGGTAAGGCCCACGACGGCTGAATTCCGGTCGATTTGCACCCAATGGGAACTTTACTCCTGACGGAAGCAGCTTGTTAAACGTGAGATGACTATGACCTCGATGGAGGAACGGAAGACTTTAAAAAGGGGGCTGCCCCTCTACTCGCAATCATCAGAAGCCTTAAGAGTAAATGCAAAATAAGTTCGAAAAGTCACAATGGTAGCAGACGCAGGAGGATGATCACATACTGCAGTCCAGAATTCTAAGCCAGAGGCCCAGGAATCTAAGGCAAAGATCTAATTTCTCCAGCCAAGGGACTCGCAGAAGCGCAGGCTTGACGAGGAAAAAGCGAACAATTTTCTCCACTAATAGTTCGATAAAAAGGAGGTTTCGGTCAGACAACATGAGGACGCACGAACCATCGACCAGGGGAATCGGATTTCCACATATTATACTCCTGAATTTCCCCGTCAACGAAGGGATGGAGATCTATACTCTCTCTTCTCTCTGTTTTCTGTTTCTAATTAGGGGATCCTAATCACAGAGCGCCTTTGCTTTCGCTTTCGCATTTGCCTTCCATAATTTAAGGGAGGCAGCACCTTTAGTTAATTAACTGACTAGTGCCTAATTAGAGCACGCACTCGGCCTGACCTCTGAACTGCACGCAGGTGGTACGCACCACTGAAGCCGGATCTGTCGTATTTTTGTCAACCAGAGTAAAGATATCGACGCTAGGGGCTTTTGATGATGATGATGCGGTTGTGGTCAGAGAAACAGGCACGCTTCGGAGTGGAGCGAGCTCAGTTTAGGGTTTAGAGTCATGCAAAACATGCGCGCATTCAGGCCTCAGTTGCAGGACGCTGGAGCTCTTGCTGTCCAGAGCGTAGATGGAGCTCTTGGAACTACAGAGCTCAATGTCCTCGCCCCTTCGTTTCGACAGTCGGTGATTTCGGTGACAGCTGGACGCGTTTGGGTGCGTGAATATCTCGGTACGCTCCTGGCTCCTGCCCATGTCGTCGAACGAATTGATTGTTAGATTGGTTAGATTTGCAACGCCACGCTGCGAATTGTGGGCGGGCGGATGAATGTCCGATCGACCTTCCGAGACCGCGCAAGCTCGCCGTGGATATCACCCATTTTTCAGCTCGGCGCGTTCTCGACGATTAGAGACGTCATGCTAAGCGCGGCAGCTAGATTTGGCCAGCGTTGTCGGCTCGAATTGCCCTCGACCTCAAATCCGTGACTTCACCATCACGATTTGTTTGCCCGCTTCTTGAATTATGCTCTGAGAGCTGTCACAGACGCGAGAAGCTGAGAGTGATCGAGGCTGAAGGAAATGCGTGAGTATAATAGAACGAATGGAGGAAGAACTCGGAAATCAAACAGTCCGGGTCGCCATGACTCAGTGATGGTGGCTCGTGACATGATGCAATTTAGTCAACAGAACGAGGCTGTCTTCTCCTGCCCTTCAGCCTTCACCATTGTAGACAAGAAAGCGAAGGCGGACAAGCCTTGTGGAATCTCATTATTTCATCCTTTCCAGGACAATCACTCGTGCCCCATTGTTCAGTGCAGGGTGCGAGTATTTCAGGTGCCAAACTGCGAATGGCACCTGGAACAGTCATTGTCCAGAATTACTCGCAGTTGATGTCGCAGCCCTGGACCTTGGTCCCTGCTCCGCTGGTGGAGCAGAGAAGAGTAGGAAAGAATGCCCATGAGTTTGTAGCTAGCTGACAAACAGAAAGCAGTGCAATCACGAGGACTCTCGGTGCCACATAGCACAGTTATGATTGCGGATAACCTGGGTTTGGTTGGTGGTAGGGACAGCAAATCCGCGGAATTAGATTCCATTTCCCTTTTACAGGAGTAACATGGCTTATACTACTGGTCTTGAGTTGCAGAGTCTGTTGGAGCTAGCGTTTCATGCGCGAGTCACTCGAATGCGAAGAGGATCTTTTCCAGTGTCGGCGTCGCTAGAGCGCTCGTTCCAACCAATGACTCTCAAAGATTGATGATATTTCCTATCGAAGTTTGAGGTGTAGTTGTTTGATGTCTGATCTTCAAGATATTTCTTAGAAGTCACTTGTCAGGAGCTGGGTGCACCATCAGCAACTCAGGTCATTGACTCAGTGGCAGTCATTGCTCTGAGCAACATCATTCAACCTGCAACCTTTGGTCGTCAATGGTCTGTTCGTAGAATTTTCAGACATTTGCTGGGTCGGCTACCTCGTGGATGGTTTCAAATTGATCTGATGCTTGATCGTATATTAGAAATTAAAACTACCGGACGAGAAATTGAAGATGGGACGTCAGTTATCAGCAGATGTGGAAGACATGAACCAAAACAGTTAAAAAAAATTGCTTTGTGATTGCAGATCTGTGTATTCAGCTCAGTCAGTTAGAATGGGAAGAACCCAGTTAGTCCGCTTATTCCAAAAAGGAAACTCTCCATTTGTGAGACGGTGTAGGAGTTTCCAAACGATCAACGACACCGACAGTGGAGGTCTCACTCGCGAGGAAGGAATAGAATATGGCGACTACCGCAGTTCTATGGAAATTGGAAGACTAAGGGGCAAAACTGCAATAATAACAGGTGCAGGAAGTGGAATAGGACGACAAGCAGCACTACTCTTTGCCCATGAAGGAGCTAATGTCGCGGTTGCGGACTGGAATTTCTCTGCAGCGGCTCGAACCGTCGACGCTGTGAAGGTAAGCTTCTTCTGAGAAATGGTCAGATCCCGCCATTAAAGTGTAAAATGTATCGGCAGATCTGGGCTGTGTGCGCTTTCAATCTGACAGTCTGTGTAAGGATGAAAGACCTAATCTCAACTGAGCTTATCTTCGGAACAAACCTTTGTAGGAATTCGGAGGGAAGGGACTGGCGGTCGGTGTCAACGTCGCGTCTGCAGAAGGAGTTGAACAAATGATCAACAAAGTGGAGAAGACATTCGGCGGGTTACACATCCTTTTTAATAACGCCGGAATTATGCACAGTGAGGATGATGATGTGACCAATACCCCTGACTCGGTCATCGACAAAACTCTCGATGTCAATGTCAAAGGTGTCATATACGGCTGTCGATATGGGATTCCAGCTATGAAGAGGTCAGGGGGCGGTTCCATAATCAACACCGCTTCTTTTGTGGCCATAATGGGTGCAGCAACTCCCCAGATTGCTTACACTGCGAGTAAAGGAGCGGTGTTGGCCCTGACCCGAGAATTGGCCGTCGTGCATGCTAGAAGCGGCATTAGGGTTAACGCCCTGTGCCCTGGCCCTCTGCGCACCGAGCTTCTGATGAAGTTTTTGGATACAGAGGAAAAGAAACAGAGGCGTCTAGTGCATATTCCGATGGGCCGATTTGGTGAAGCGGTGGAGATGGCAAAGGCCGCTTTGTTTTTGGCTTCGGACGACAGCTCCTTCATGACTGGTGCCAGCCTCGTTGTGGATGGAGGACTGACGTCTGCTTATGTTACACCCGAGTGAAACTGACTACCTACCCGAGGAATAGCATCTCCATTTCACAGGCAGAAGAAAGAAGTCTCTACAGGCCAACGTCGAAGTCAGCAGAAGTAAACAGAGAAGGTTGTATCACAAGAATATTGTGTTCAAGTTCTTTTCCCCTGGAGCTGCGGTTTTCCATTTCTTAAAGGAGTTCCAGCACATGCGCAGGGCAGTATCTCACATCAAATCACGTGCCACAAGTTTCTGAAGGGTGGATCACCACAGTCTCGTCGATTGTGGCCACATCACAGCATTGTAGGCAGTGCATGCAAAATGGTAGGAGTTCGCACTGAACGTTTCATACCTTGAGACCTTGATTGGTGTACGAAACAGCCTGATGTTTGTGCAGGAGTACATAGGAAACTCGGTCTGGTATGGGTCAGGACTATATCCTGGACCGCGCCCAGGGGGCACAATATGAAGACGGCGTGGTGAAGTTCGATAATCAAGCTGGATTGAAATCCTTAGGCTGGTGAGAGGATGTTGAAACCAGTCATTTTATAATTACTTCGAACATCTGCAGTGGAGTTTTTCTTGTTGTACCCGTAGCATCCAGCCCAGCCTGTCAGTGAGGTGAATCATCGCTCGAGGATCTGTAGCATCTTAACACGTCGTTTCAGATGCTATCGATATTGTATTATGTAATTTTCTCATGCTTGACCATATATAGCTGGTTCTGCTTGTCACAGTTCCTGTGACTGTCTGAAGCTTTTAGCTTTCAGGCTATTTTCTGGAGCATGTGCGTATGCAAGTTCTGCGGCCCAATGTCACCAGCTGAGATTCAAAAGTGTGGCAAAAGAGTTCTACGCCAGCTTCTAGATATGTAACGTATGTCCACAGCCTTTCCAACCTATAAACAACACGTGCAGTTGATTTCAGGCGCAGACACTGCACATCTTGATGACTGCTCCTGAGTACACGGTTTCTGTGAGAGGGTTTAGAATATTGTATTTACTGCAAACATGTAGGATGGCAACCGAAGAAATTGTTGCTATCAATGACCTGCGTTACTTACGTGGAATGCTTAATGTAGCACAACGAAATAAGTCTGGAAAGTCAGAGCTGAAATGACAGTCAAACTGCGATTCACATCACTCAGATCTATTGATGAACACACTTCAACTGACAATAGCATACGTATATCTGTGAATTGTGTTGGAACAAAGTGCAGATTTGTAGATTTCGCACGAAGCTTAAGCTGTAGGTTGCACTTGCAGTTAGTGACATTATGGTGAGGAACAGTCCCAATAATATTCTAGCTAACCGCAGGAAGAATCTATTGGAACAAACAGCGAATTTTTAAAATCGTAAAACTTGGCAGTCACAGGAGAGCTCGCACGAGTACTATCTGAGGCGCTTTAATCTGAACGAGGGCGTGGCTGCAGTCACTGAAACTGAGTATGAATTATCAATAAAAGGCCAAGTTCCCGTTTCATGGCTTGCAACATTGCCGGCAGAAGGCGACGGGACAAACGATGAAGTGGAGAGTTCCGATTCATTGTGAGATTAGTGACCGAAGCGGTACTAAATCTCATTTTTGCTAGAATCGATCGGAGTAATTCTAAGTGTTACTGGACCCGACGACAATTGAAGACAGAGCATGCCGAGAAAGAAGGAAATCATGGCGAGAATTTTTGAATACCGAATAGCTTCGTTTAAAGCATGAAGACAATCATGCGAAGTAAGAGCTGCTTTCTGATATGATTGCCACATTACCGAAATACGAGAATGTACTGTGTGGAATTATACTGGACGATACGGTAGGTCACCAGAAGAAGATACACTTTGACCTTGTTTCCTCATAAAGTAGGATGATATCGTAACAATTTAGAGAACATTCTGACAGTTTATTCCTCGACGTTATTGAAGATTTTTTTGCAAACGGCATTGATTACGATCATCTGTATTTTATACATATCATTCTACTTGTGTATCGTGAGCTTCCTAATGCTAACTGTTCCGGTAAGTGATAAAGGTCCAGATCTGATTTGGTATCTGAATAAAAAAGGTACTTTACTGTTTATTTTCCCTGTATTCCCTTATTTATATATCACCAGGAAGTATTTTTGAAGGTAAAAGTTCAACATGGACAGGAGAATATTTGTGATCACTATCATTTATGATACAATCAATCATGTTCATTCTCATCCTTTACTTGAATGTAGGATAATTTCACACGTCATTTTCAGAGAGTAACTCTTCGTTGGTTTTTCATAATATAAGGGGCATCTTGTTGATTTTATCTTGCGGCTTTCCAATTAAATTAAATTAAATTAAATTGAAACATTTAATATGTTACCACGACCCTAGTAACAATGCGTTGATGGATGTTTTAATATTTATAAAATATATCGCGGCACAGTCAATGCTAAATCATTTCCGAAAATATGTCTTTTTAAATATATGTTTAGTCATATTTTAAGAAATCCTCCATCCATCCAGCCATGTGTTCGATCTTTGTAGCTCCTAAAACTCCTCCAATCATCTTGTCAATGAACCACCTTGTACATAACATAAAAGACTTCCACGTTATCTTCCTACATCAGTTCCCATCCAAAAACATATATGACATATATGGATGCAAATTTTTCCAATTATAGGAAGACAAGAAGAGTATGTAGGCAGTTACCATTCTCCCTTCCTTAGACGCGAACATTTTCTGTTGTCAAATATTATCTCCTTGCACTGCGCGGTATTTTTTATTCGGTGTCCAGGAGGATTATCATTTTATTTTTATTTCTTTCTGGATCGCTTTTCGTCACATGTGTCGACTAGACTCAACTTCATCGTGATAGGATATGGCGAAGGTCAAAATAACCTCTTACAATTCCTGTAATGAGACATCATCGAGAATTCTAATAGACGTCCAATCAGTCTTGAGAATTGCAAACTCTTGTCATGTAATAGAAGGACTGTTCTGCAACGCCTGAATCATTTCACTCCACTTGTATGCTATCTCTAACATTTGAAACTCTGTCTGAGTCATCCATTACATCTTCAGATACATGTGGATTATAACAGACAAAATATACACATTATCTTTACGTTGAGCTCACAATCGAACGCCAGTTCCGTACACATGCTTCACAAAGATTTTTTTTTCTAAATGATAATTGTTTTGCCCGACCCTGGCGCTTTGACTGAACGCAACTTCTGCAATATTGCATAAATCTTCCGCTGGGGTGGAGAATTTTTGTTCCGCTTGTACTTGATGTTTTTCCAAAATGAATCTTGAATCATGTCAATGTGATAGTTGTTTCTGTTTTTCTTTCCTTGCGGATCAAACCACTTGACTGGGTAGATCACAGACGGGGTGTGAACTCTCAATCCATCCAAGTTGTAACTAAGCCTCGGCAAGGTAAGGTAAAGATTACCAGGTAATGCACGAGCATTTACCTTTACCTTACCCGCACCACTACTACCTACTTTTAACTTTTACCTCTATCTCAGGGTAATTTAACCGGTTAACTGATACACATTCTTAAAAGTTACCCATACCGGGTAACCTTTTGGGATTAAACGGTAAATCGGTAAAAAGTAGAGGTAAATTGTGTAATGTAACTGTTAAGTAACCGGGTAAATATTGAACCAAGCTAGATCCACACACTTTATTCCCGAGCTCTGTATGTCAATTATCATTTTTTGCAAGATACTGATCTAGTTTACCATCTCTAACAAGAAATGAGCAAAGGCCTTGCCCATGCCATTCTAGTTTGTTTTGTCATGCTACTTATTCTATTGGCGATTTGGTGAGGAGAAAGATTCTGTCGGGAAGAGAAGATTATATTCACCTCATACAATCCCGCAACGAGATCGCATGCTTCGGCCGAATCGCACACACAAATCCTCAATCGCTTCACTTGCAACAATAATTCCCCTCTTGAGCCCAAATCGAGTCCCTGAGTTCAGCTTCAAACTTACTCCGAGCGCTGCTACCTCGCTCACGGCGTCGACGACGATGCGACCATGACGCTATAAAGGGCCCCTTCTGCGTTGCGCTTCCTTCATGAATTTTGTCTTTTGCAATGGTAAAGGGTTACCCGGTTGGGTTGTTTGGGTTTTTATTGGGTTTTCCATTTAGCTTTACCTTTAACTTACCTATAATCCAATCTTTACCTTTTACAATGATACCTAAAAGATTACTTTAACCAGGTCTAGTTGTAACCATCGCAATCCTCCTAGTTATTTTGTGTCATATATTTGGCCCATAGCATTGCATCTCATGTCATGGAATTTTCTCGCCATCCAATTGAATTTTGGTTTGTCAAACTTACTTTGCAACTTTGAGAACACATAGTTCCATCATTAGTACAAACACAACACTTATTGCGCAATCTCGCTAGCGTTATGTCGTTCCCCGTAGATTTCAGAAACGAAGTTCGACAAGTGTAACGTTTGATAGTTGTTCTCCTCAACACTCTCAGCTCCAAGGATGATAACTATTAGTTTTGTGTTTGTGGAAAGTCCTTCATCGTTGCAACTAGCAGAACATTAAGTGTGTAGAATGCACTAAATGTTAACTAATCTTAACTTGTGCCTATTTTCTTAAATTCCCTTCTTAAATTTCTTAAATGCCCCCTAGTCGTTACGTTATCATGCGCAAGGCGCCATTATTCTTTCACTACACATTTGTCCCTTAAACTAGTTATAAAATCTCTTTCTATCATCTTGGGGGTTGTCTTCCCGAAGATGGCCCAACCTAAATAAAAAATGCACTGTTCCAATGGTCATACATTACAATCGTTAACCTTATCACTCAAAACACCTCAACTTTTTTGACATATTACGACAACGCTAAATCAGGTAATCATGATTCTCAAGATAGTTACAAGATTTTAATTCAACAGAATCTGTATTTGATTTTTGAAGACAACTATTCTAGTGATGTATGCAACCAATATTGAGGACTTGCATACTCCAACAATTATTAGTAATATGAAAAATAGTACCCTCCTCACTAAGTACGATGAGCAAGATTTTTTCACATATTTAACATAACCACTATAAGTTTTTATGTAGATCAGTAACAAGAGGAAGTTCATCATTTTTCAAATCAATAGTAAAAAGATTATTTTTATTATTAATAAAAATTATAATTAATTATTAATAATATTTTTACTTTAGTTCATTAGATTGAATTTCTTGTTAATGTTTTAGAAAATTACTAATTAATTTCAATTAAATAATTAGGATTCATCTATGGATTGACTATCTTTGAAAATTTTTAACTTCATGATAAAATATAACCATGTATTCCGTGTACATAATCTCACAGAGATCATTCACATATTTACCTTTTCAACGTCTTGGTGCTTGCTGATGTTAACAAATATCACTTCTGTGTTGTTTACTAAAGCCTAACATTGCTTCAACTTCCTAGTCGAATGAAATGGATCAATTTGGATGGAAATGTTTCTGCAAACCTCATACTTTTTTTGAAATCATAAACGAGCTTTCTGATAATGGTAACGTGGTGAAAGGATATTCAACCAAAATCCTATAGAAGCGTTTTGCAGCATTCAGCAGGTTTCATTGGACCTTTGCTTGCAGATCCCAGCAGGAACCGGAGTGCAGCTGGACACATGATGAACCACCAAAGCGATCAATGTCATTTGAAAAAAAAATTGACCTATTTACACTACTTTTAAGTCCGTCGTGTTGTAACAGTTCTACCACTTCAATACAAACCTTGATCACGTACGATTGTGCTCAAATATTGCATCAAATTTTTTTTGTGCAACCCCTTACCGTAACGGCGGCCACCAACTTTCCCAACTGTTATTCGCTTGTCTTTGCCAACTGTTATTCGCTTGTCTTTCGTAGTTCACGAAATATTCTTTTCAGCCGAAGCACGAACACCATCCCTTGTGAATCACAAGTGATGGTGTTCGTGCTTCGGGCCTCTCTAAATAAGTCAAATATGGAACTTGAGGGCCAAAGTTCCATATTTAGTTTTTAGAAAGTTATGTACTTCCAAAAAAAGTCTTTGTGGTCCAGGTGTCTTTACCGGAAAAATTAACGAAATCACTCAACTAAAACTTTGGGGTGATCGTTTTTTACCATTTATTTATTGATCTAGGTGATTTTAATAGAGAAACTATAGTAGATATTCAGCTAAATCTTTGCCAATTTTCTTTGTTCATCTTGGTGACTTTATTAAACAAACTAACTGAGTACTCGACTAAAACTTTGCGACGATGATGAGTTCAACAAGCAAGTTATAGTAATTTGTTCCCTTGGTTCCCTCAATCACTCGTAGCTTTGAGTACACGAAAAATTATTCAACTTGTTCTAAAATATCAAGATAGTCTCAAACTTTGTTGCAAACAAAAGTATACATATAAAATATTGAACCCAGAACATTAAGAAGTCCATGTTCTCTGTTCACAAAAATCTGTTGTCTGAAAAGTTTGATTCCAGGTTTAAAAAAATAAAATTTCAACTGATGGAGTTTTTTTTTTAAGATTAGTTTGACCATTTTCGAACACTTCAATGGTATAAAGAGTGATTTCTCCGTGCTAAAATGGGAAAAGGATAATTAGAGGTCAAAGATAATATCCATTTCTCTCAAAGGTGTATTACATTGCCGACAAAGTAGGCCGAAAACATGAGAGTTTAGGTCAAGATTCGACCCAAAAACTGTCTAATTTCGTATATTCTTTATTTTGATTTGAAAATTATCTTTATTTTGTTGAGATACGGAATCCGCCCTATATAGAGAGGCCATTTGATGGTTCACAAGTTGTGAACCATCAAATGAATTCAAGATGTACTCTCACGCACAGAGCATTTGCAATGGTTACGTGCAATGATTACGTCACGTAATACGTGACTATCATAGGAATGATAGACTTGACTATGAGACTCAAGCACTCAACTCTTCTGTCTTGCAAACCGTGGTCGTGCTCGGTCTGCCTGTCACTGGACTAATATGCCGTTCGGACCTTGCTCGGTCGCGGGTGGGATCGGGCATGGGATTCCGACCCTTAACCCAAATATTCGTCCCGGTCGACTGTAGGACAAGCCGCAGTGCCATGCATTTGAGTCTCCGATAAATATCACACTTTTCTCACATCCTCAATTTGAAGAATGCAGGATAACCTTCATAGTTCCCCAAAAGGATCAGACTGATTCAATGACCATGTGTTCACACTGTTCTACTAGACCTGTGTTCACACTGTTTCTGCGGATCGTTGAAAAATTTTGGTTTTGTTCTTACCCAGTCACTGTGCTTCCCTCTCACATTTCCACTGTATATCTTAATCGTTATATGAAAAGTACCAACTGATGTACTAAAAGCTGCTGAGAGGTAATGTCGATACTGACACGAAGCGTGTATAACAGTCTGAGACCAATCAGTGTGACGTAGGTACGATGAGCTCTATATAGGATTTTGATGTTGAGAGTTCATGGGTTTTCTTTTGGGCCTGGGCTTGTTGAACATCGTCGGGTAGAAAGTGCTGTGAGTTATCTGTAACTTACCAACTAATTACCAGTTTTGGCTGCACTCTCAGGTTTTCTGTCTCAAGTTCTTTACAACCGACATCGACAATGTTACACCGATCCATCAAAAGGTGAGGTTCTTAAGCTTCTGATAAGCAAGTACTGTACTCAGACACAGACAATAGCGCACATACTGCGGTGAATCAAACGGTACGGTCGAACTTTATGGTAGGCTATTTTTGTCAGTAATATGTTCGATGATGTCTCGTGCTGTTTGTTTGGAGTCAGCATCAGACTCTTGTAAATGCACAATACATAACTCGCTTCGAAAGTTGATGCCCAAATGGGTGAAGGCTCGTGCCTGCAGTGACGATTAGTTGAGTTGAAACTTCTGAACCGTGGCTCGTGGGTTGTTCCCAGGTGTTCTCAGATATTGACTGAACAGACGCCAGGATTGGTGCGAAGGTGTTCCTCTGCGGGGCAAGTGTCGCACAAGAGGTAGGATCGAAAGAAGTGCCAGTTTGAATCAGAGCTGACAGAGCTCCTGTCAGCTCTGAGATTAGCTTAATTCTTGCGTAGATTGTATCATTCATTGGAACGAGGTCATGTTCGGGCAGAATTTGTTCATGTGCATGGAATTCAGGCCACAGCGTCGCTCGCAGGCTAGATGGGAAGGTGGCGATCATCACAGGGGCAGCGGGGGCTGTCGGATCAGTCACGGCCAAGGTGTTCGCGGATCACGGGGCCAATGTCATCGTGACTGACATCAACGACGAGGCAGGCGAGAAAGTGGCGCAGGCCATATCTCAGAACGCAGTTTACCGACACTGCGATGTTTCGAAAGAGTCGCATGTGGCCGAAGTGGTCGACTACGCGGTGAAGGAGTTTGGCAAGCTCGACATCCTGCACTGCAACGCGGGCCGACTGCCGGCGCCCGTGGACTTTCAAACATTGGACATGGAGCAGTACGACAGGGCCACCGGCGTTCTCTTCCGCGCGGTGGTGCTGGGCATCAAGCACGCAGCTCGAGTGATGGTCCCGCAGAAGCAAGGATCGATCCTGATCACCGCCAGCTCCCTGTCCTTGTGTGTCGATCCCGGCGTGTCCTTGCTCTACAACCTCAACAAGACCAACCTCGTGGGCCTGACCAAGATCGCCGCTGGTCATTTGGGCAGCCATGGGATTCGCGTGAACGCTGTGGCGCCGGGCCCCATTCCTACGGAGATGAGTTTGGACTGGGCTAAAAACACCGGGGTCGCTCAGACGATGGACGAGTTCAAGCAATGGCTTGAGGCCAAGTCTCCTCTCCTCGGCAAGCTTTGCACAGAACGGGACATTGCCAACGGCGCTTTGTTTTTGTGCAGCGACGAATCTCGATACGTCAATGGCCATGTTCTGGCAGTATCTGCTGGCTACCATAACCTTGTCAAGCACTAGCTCCGATCAGATGCAGAGCTTTGCTGCTGTTAAAGGCTGTGGAAATTTCGCGTTGAGGCAATTCGATTGTATATCATTCTCAGGTGGAATATCTCAAATTTCGAGATGCATTTGGTACAATGAGACTTTTCGGCGCTTTCTCGAATCAGAATGACCATGACGCTACTCTCATGCATAGTCCCAAGCTGTCAGTCTCATGCATACAATAGTCTTAGTACAAGATGAATGCAGTTTCTGTGGAGAGAATGCGAGGGACGAGATCCCGGGACGTGACGGACTGACGTTAGTGTCAGGCCGTGAGTGCTATTAAGATTTTCATTTCGGTGAAGGTTGAGATTGAGTCAGAGGATAGTTTCCTTTTATTAGTTTCGTTCTGTTAATTAACATAAAAGAATCTGGAGTAAGGTAGAACAAAAATTTACTGTTTTCGAAGTTATTAAGTTTGTTGAGACAATGAGGTCTAAAGTAGATCTGAATTATAAGTTGTGTCACAAGAATGGTTCAAGGAACATATTGATTGTGATTCAATTTTTCCCATCTCAATGTCTTTGGTAATGAACGGAGAAAAGAAAACTCTAGATTATATAAGAGTTTCAATTTGCCATTTCTCTATGGTTATCCATCTTGAATAGTTTATTTCTTATTTTTCTATCTTTGGTTCATATTCGTAGATAGATCAGGTTTTACCATCAGACATTTTTTAATATTGACTAGAAGATCTACGATGATAACAATGATTAGATTTTGTTTTCTCTCACTCCGGATGATTACAGTCATGCATGATTGCTAGGATTATACTTAAGGTTTCTTTTCAATATTCCACTTCTAGTGGTTATACTAAATAGTTAAAATATTGCTACAGATGTATATAACGGAATTTTTAAGTGATTATTATCTAAGAGTTTCCATACAACCCGAAACTCAAAATCTTCCATCTCAATGTGTGTTGTCAAATTGTGACTAACTTTAAAATTGTGCATAATAGTGAAGCATAATATTACTTATTTATTTAGTACTTTAATTATTGTATGTTTATATGTAGATATTGTGTATATTATTTTCAAAAAAATTAATGATGAATTCAGTTTTAGAGAACACATTTATCGGATTAATTTCCAGGTTAAATTTTTTTCCCTTTTACAATTACTTCCAAATAAATTATTCAATATTCTAAGTATTTTAGTTCTTAACATGTATATACTTTCATGTTATTTGCCACAATTATTTTGCCAAGAGTCTACAAAGCAATACTTGTTGGTGTTGTCTTTGTAAGAGCATTATTTTGCTCAATATGCTCTTTGGTGGTTGGAACGCGTGCTGCTTTGCAGTAATGACTGAGCACTTGTTCGAAGAAGTTAGCGGGTTGATCTCCGGTGTAGCTATAAGCTATACATTTCGAAATGTAAGTGGATCAAGAGTGAGGCAACCCAAATTGCACTTGAGAGTATTTCATTGCAGTTATTCATTCTACTAAAGACTAATTTTTATTGTTTTCAATCTTGATGCATGATATTCTGACATGAGAGAAAAAAGAATTTCCAATTGTATATGAAGGCCATGAAATATATTTGGTATGAGATAGATAAATACGATGGATGTGATGATTTTTTGCTTTGGTATAAACAAGTCAAAGAAAAGCTAAAGTTTATATATCTAGGCTAGATGTTAAGGTCAAAGACTTTCAATTATAACAACGACAATCACAAAGATCTTAAGGAGCAAGTATTGAGTTTTGTTAAACTATAATTGCAAACTTCAAAGATCTTAAGGAGCAAGTATTGAGTTTTGTTAAACTATAATTGCAAACTTCAACTCTGAAGCAAGTGGATGAATATGACTATTGTACTTCTTTGTTTGAAGCTAATGAGCAACGGTTTCATCACGAATGACTCTTTGAAACGAATGATATTAAAGATGAAAGATTTTGGCACGAAGTGTAGATTCAACGCAACAAGATCCACATATCGATATACGTGGTTCACCTCTACATGTGTCTTTGTCAATGGTCAAGATTGAAGTTTAAATAAAGTGAAAATGATAAATCAGGATTCCATAGCCAAGCACTCAACTATCTCTCTCAATCATATGTACATTTGAGACTAAACTAAAAATGCTCATTCTAGGGCTAAGTATCCCAAATCTTAAGTAGAGACCAAGCCTAACAAATCCTAACTATGATTAACAAGACCATGGTTTATCTTACAAACTTTTTCTTAATCCCAGCATAGAAGGAGTCAGTTCTTACTATCCATATATAGTCTTAATGGAAGGATTTAGAAGTTAAATTTGAACCATATTTTTTTCCCCTATGGATGAGGGTTAATTAAAACTAAGTCATAGCTGACAACATGTAAAAAAAAACCATATAAATGGAAACTATCATGAATTCTAACTCACCTAAGCAGAATCTGCAAAGTTGCACGGTGTCTTGAAAACTTTTCAGAAGTGATCACTTTGGTAAAACTATCAGACATGTTAAGCTCTTCATCAGTCTTGATCAACGTAAGTGCAATTTCATACACATCATGCTTGATAAAATGGTAACTGATGTCAATATTCTTCACTCTATTATTTATCACATGATTCTCAGCAAAATGAAACCCACACTTTAAATATCACAACGAAGATTGACTTCTTGCTCCAAAAATTCCATCTCAATATAAGCTTGTTCAACCAAATTGCTTCCTTCATTGACTCTTCTGCAACATATTTAGCTTTCATGAATGAGAAAGAAATGCATTTTCCAAGTTGAGCAGCCACTTATAGGAGTGAAAACATATCCAGTGGTTAATTTTTTCTTGTTCTAGTATTCCCCATGATCAAACATCCACATACGTCAAAAATGACTTGACATTCTTTGCTTTGTCATCAAACAGTAAGCCATGTCGTGTAGAAACCTTCACATACCTAAGTATCCATTTCAATGCTTCCCAATGCACTTTGCCTAGATTTGACGTATTCATGCTCATCTTTACTAAATAAAATGCTATATCTGGTCATGTGCATACCATCAAATACATGAGACTATCCACTACCATCTTATAGGAAATAGAAGATATCCAAACTTTTTCTATTGCATAAGTAGTACATTGCACGGCTGAAATTAAAAAATGACCAACCAATGGAGTATTCACATGTTTAGTTTCCATGTTGTTGAATTTCACAAACATCTTGTCTACATATTTATGTGAGATAATCAAAGCTTCATTTACCTTTTTGTCAAATTAACTCTATGCCAAGAATCTATTTGATGTACCTAGATACTTCATGATGAAAGTTGAGTTCAATTGAGACTTCAATTTATTAACATGAAATATACCGAGAGCTGCAATAAGCATGACATCTGAATACAAGACAAGAATGATAAGCCCGAATGACACATTTAGAGCCTTCCTCAATTAAACACAAGTATCATATACTTTCCGTAAGAATTCTTGTGAATGCATGAAGCTTTTGTTTCACTCTCTAGAACTTTGCTTTAAACCGTATAACAATTTAAGCAACCTACATACCATGCTGTACCATTTGTCCCTTCAACACACTAGCAATCCAACCTTTTTTTTTAATCAAGAAAACCTTGTGGTTGTCGCATGAATATCACCATATTGAGTAGTCTATACAGAAAAGTCATGACAAAGTCCATCTTCTCAAACACCAGATCATATAGAATCACAAAAGATATATAAATCGTGTATGCAATTTCAGCCAAAACACCTATTGAAGAGCATTAAACTGCGTGGCGGAATTAGAAAGTGATAATATATCACTTTTTAGGTTCGGTTTAGTGCAATAAATATTCTATATATTTTTCTTGAAATATGGAACCTCATGGTAGCCAAATACAAAATATACGGAATCCATAACACAGAGTTCCGTATTTAGAGAGTCCTATATATAAGGTATGCATACAAAGTATGTGTTGTCATGTAATGTATCTCTAGATTTATCATCAAGGAGGAGGTTGTATCACGAGATTAAATTTTTACCAAGAAGATATATTTGGTATAAGCTTCTTTATCAAGTTGATGAAATCCAGAACAACAAATTGAAGAACAGAAATAAGGGATTTAAGGCTTTTGGACGAAAACTGAAGATGTCCGATAATTATTTTGCAATGCTTTGCCTCATCACCAGCAATATTGGTTGTTTGTAAGGTTGGAAGTATGTGAGGGCCGTTATATTAGAAGGTTTCTGACATGCTTTAGGCAAGTATGCAGCAAACTTGCGATTTCATAAGACTAGCGAATGGCAACGCCTAACTCCTAACCGGTTAATGTGAATACCTAAAAAAGGTGGAAAGGAACCCTACATACTACCCGCTGAAAATTCTTGACTAAACCATGAAGAGCCATCAAATTGGCAAATAAACATATTACTAAGGTTAACGCGTGAGAACAGTAAGAGAGTAGCTCAAAAAGTACTACTAAAGGTGCCAAGAGCAAGGATGGTACTTGATGTACTAATATATTGATAAGTCGAACCCCATGAGGTTTGAATCCAACCATAGTTATTCCAATAAGAAAGAATGAAAGACTTTGGGTAATTTGAAATGGAATGTTCCTGTGGGTCGGCCCTACTATAAGAATATATATATATATATATATATATATAGAGAGAGAGAGAGAGAGAGAGAGAAAAAAAAAAGGATATGAAGGTGAGACACACAATAGAGGCTCATAGAAAAAATGTATGGTTAATAAACTGGCAAAACATCGAAACTTTTATGGTTCTACTAATTTGTCTTCAACAGACAAAAGTAGTTCTGTGGCTTTATCATCTGGTGCAAACCAAAGATGTGAGCTGTGACTATCCAACATGATGTGAAATGCGGTACAATTTGTCTTCAAAGAATTGCGAAAGTGATATATGGAGGTGTACCAATGGTTCCAGTCAATTTTTCTTGTTTTTTTGAGTGAAAGCAAAAAAAACTGCAACTAATACTGAAAGTTCATCGAGTAAAATAAGAGTAAATGTAAAGAATCGTGGAGTATGTCAAGGACTTTGACTACTGTTCTTTAATAAGAACCGTAGACCTTTAGCCACGTAAATTTGGATACCCTGAGTTCAACTATTTCTTCGTGTTCGAGGTGAACAAAGTAGGTGAAACTCCTGGGAGGCGGAAAACTTACACACTACGAGCTTGGAAGCTTCACTTGGTACGCACTCGATGAATCAGAAGCTTCAGCGATCCCTTGAGTACTGTACAATGGGACTTGCACACGTACACGGGCGATGGTACATGATGACAAGAGTCTTGGTGGATAAAAGACCGCAGATGTGGTCCTTGTTGGGTACCTCATGTTGGTCGTAAACACAGCAGCCATGCAAAATGCGAGTGGTGCAAGTGCCGAGCTCAGTGAACTCAAAACCTTCACAAAAGAGGAAGAAATCTCGAAGAAGGCATAGATTGGAAGGACTCAGACCCTATTTTGTCCAACGCAAGAGTGGCTCTCAGTGCAATCGTGCACTGTAAATCCAGCGGACGACAGCGGCAGGAAAACAAAGTGCATCTCTTGGCAACACCACTTCCAAAGACTAGATACAAACAACACGCTGTAAAAGAAGTTACGCTCATCGGAATGTTTTTGCACATCAATTAGGCAGCAGCTCCCGACGAAAGCTTGGAAATTCATATCCTTATGACAATGAAAGTCCTCGATCTCGGCCAGTGCACCTTTCAATGAATCAGTCTGGCAGCAAGTCCTGCGATGGTCGTGATCCAAGCAGGGCCCGAATGGAGTCACTGCGATGGGACCGCACATTGCAATTCTGATGACGGTTTCTGTAAACTAGAACGGGCTCTGAATTCGTGGATATGGACCTCGGAACGAGATGTAACTGGGAATTTCAGTCCATGTTCACGTCGCATGCAGAGGAGGGCTGTAAAGGTGGGCCAGGCGAGCGATCACAAGAAGTACATGGTGCGCACAGCAACAAGGCCGCGAGAAGAACAGGCCGAGGACTGCGGACAGCATGTTGGATGGGAGAGCTGCGGAGCTCGATGCGAATGAACGACGGGATCAGCATGTGACCATCGGCGGCGTATGTTTCGTACGGGCCGTGACGTGAAGATGTGGAAGCGTTCGCTGCTCCAGGGGCAGTCCCACAGGCGCTGATGGAGGCGCGGATGGGTACCATATCCTCACGACCTTCGCTGCCGGCAATGCGGACTGAATCGGGAAATCCTCTCAAACATCCATCCTCTCCACATCTCGGGATCATGGTGGGAAAATGTGCTCTCCCTCCACCGCTCGCCTGCCCCTCTCCAATTCTGAATTGCCCGACTCTGAAGCCGGGTCCGCTGCAGGTGCAGGTGCAATTCTCTCCGCCCTGTGCTTCTACAGTCGTGCGCTCTAATAATACTGAAGCAGATCTGGGAATGTATGCCGTCGGTGTCATGCAGTTTACTCGTGGAACTGGACTCGGTGTGTATAAATGACTCACCGGATTCCGCCAAATTCAAATCGCAGTGCTACCTGTCCAGAGAGATAGAGAGGGCCATCGCATAATGTCGGAGGGCAGGTGAATTGTGCCTCGATCGTTCAGTTTAGGATTGAGGAGAAGAAGAGAGTCGTGCTGTTGTGGTGGCAAGCATGGTCGGGATGAGGGGACTGGCAGTTTTCGTTATCGTGGCGCTCTCGTGGATCGAGAGCGGCCATGCTGCCGCAACCTGCAGCTGGGCAGATTCTGCAGCGCTGCTGTCGTTCAAGAGTGGCTTCTTGGACAAGGGGCAGACCTTCGGGACTTGGAAGTCTGGCACCGACTGCTGCTCTTGGGCCGGTGTCACGTGCAATGACGCAGGCCGAGTGAAGGGGCTCGAGCTGATGGGACCTGATCCTGCCGTGGGTGCGCTCGGCTACTCGACTACGTTCGTGCCTGGAGTGAGTCGCATTCCTGATCTCACGGCCGCCGCCTTGCCGGGAGCGCCATTGAGCAATCTGGCCGCTCTCGAGGTGATCAACTTCCAGAATGTGTTCTTCAACTCCAGGATTCCTGACTCGTGGATGAAGCTCACAAGCCTCAGAATTCTGCAGCTGGACTCTTGCAACATCACGGGGTCCATTCCGACCACCATCAACCAGCTCAAGAGCTTGGAAACTCTGCACATCAGTGCGGGATGGACGGCCTCCGTGGCTCTCACGGGCTCGTTGCCCTCGCAGGTCTGCGACTTGACGAAACTTCTGTTCATCGGGCTCGAGGGCAATTCTCTGACAGGTCCGTTGCCTTCGTGCTTCGACCGCTTGCGATCCCTCAGGTCCCTGCACTTGGCAGATAACAGCATCACCGGAACACTCCCGTGGAGCATTGGATTAATGCCTTCGCTCTCGGAGCTCAACCTCGCCAATAACCAGATTTCTGGCTACATTCCGGGATCGATCGGTTCTCTTCCTAACATCACGTACCTGAACCTGGAGAACAACAAGCTTTCTGGGCCTCTTCCCGGGTCGTTCTCCCTGCTGTCCAATCTCGTTGAATGCAGGCTCGGCAACAACCAGCTGTCGGGCAGAATTCCCACTGATCTCAACAGCTGGACCAAGCTTCAGGTTCTGGAATTCCAGAACAATCAATTCTTTGGAGAGATTCCGGCCTCTCTCGGAAAGCTGACGAGCTTGGTGTCTCTGGCGCTCGATAACAATAAGTTGTGGGGCTCTATCCCGAGAGAGCTGGCTAGCATCAGAGGAGGCCGCATCACTCTCAGCAACAACCGCCTCTCGGGGAGCATTCCCGCAGACCTTCTGAACAACGAGCCGTACTATCCTGCTTTGCACCTCGATGTGTCGCACAACTTTCTCTCGGGGCCTTTGCCTCAAACCATCGGCAATGTCTGGGCGTTTCTGGCTTCGTACAACGAGCTGTCGGGTGGGTTTCCTCTGCAGCTGGCTAGCGTCAACACGGTGGACCTGTCGAACAACAGGCTCGACCAGAAGAACAAGATCGGGAGGAAGGCGAATTTCAGCACCAATCCTCTGTACCCGCAAGCTCACAGCATCCGAGAGCTTCATCTGAACAGCAACAAGTTCAAAGGCGACTTCCCCGCATGGCTCTTGGAGCTCAACAGCCTCAGGCTTCTGGATATCTCGGACAATAAGTTCACTGGCCCCTTGCCAGACGCCATCTTCGACTTCCCGACTCTCTGGGCCCTGAATGTGTCTCACAACCAGTTCAGTTCTCAACTCCCGTCCAACCCCTACAAAAACGTGCAGGGAGGCCAGGTGCTTCAGATGCTGGACTTGCACGACAACCAGTGCTCCGGCCCCATCTCTACCTCATTCTTGGCAGCTCTGGCTAAGCATGGAATCATGGGGCTCGATCTGTCGGAGAACAAATTCACAGGAAAATTGGACCAGTCAATCGGGACCATCGGTGGTGTGGGTGCTGCTGATCCATGGACATTCCATTTGGACGTGTCGGATAACAAGCTCTCTGGTCCCATCCCTGAGACGATCGGACAACTGAAGAATCTCAAATACCTCGACCTGTCCGCCAATAGCTTCAGTGGATCAGTGCCGACGTCCATATCCCAGCTCAAGCAGCTCGTCTACTTGAACCTGTCTGACAACGACCAGCTTAATGGAGTTGGCAACCACCAGAAAGGCCATACGGAGCTGGAGTTCTGATCTGCCGTGCATAACTTTTCAACTTCACCAATTTTTCTCTTACATCTGTCTGTGCACAATTAATGTTTAGTAAGTGCAGTTTCTAGGAAGGCAGCATGCAGATGAAGTCCAGCTAGCAAATAGCTAGTTAGAGATGGTATGAGAGTGCTGCATACGGCATTGGCTTTTCAACTCCATAAATGGAGGGTAATCAGAATAATGTTTTTGTCGTTAGATAAAAGTAGAACTTAGTGCATCACAATGTTCTCTGTCCTGTACACACGCATTAAAAAGGGTACGAGTAGTTCTAGAAATCATCGTTGTGGTTCACTGTCTGGTGCTCCGAACTGGGTCATGGTGCTGCGGTGGTTTGAAGCTTGTATATATTGGTATCTGCTTGCTCTTCAGTGTCCATGTCTTCTTTCTCTTCTCTGTTTATCCACATTCATGACTTGTGATCTTCTCTGCAGTGTGCGTTCAGGAGGGAATGCCTTTTCAGATATCTCATGAACTGGAAAGGCTTTCCATTCTGACTCCATCCTATTTTCATGAGAGCTCGTGCTTTCAATCGTACTCGTAGTGAAGACGAACGCAAGTGCGGATGTGAGAGCCAAAGTACCAAATGTTCAACTTCCGGATTAGCTACCATCAGCTCGCACGCATCATCTCTCAATGCGTGCGAACTCATTGGATTCGATTGGAAACAAATTCGTTTTAATGGGTCTCTCGTGCCAGCAAGTGTTTCGTTAAAAAACCAATCTACATGATCTGGTTCAAGTTTCCATTTGACTACATCCCAACTGGCCCTCGGTAGTTGGACAAATGGACGAGCCATTGAAATGTTGTCATCGATGCTTCCTCAAATCGATAAGAAAAGCTCAATTTTTCACACCGTCGTGGTTTAGTATTGCATATGAAGCTGTCGCATTTGGTTTCATTAGTAGTAACGTGACCTCGTGTAACTTCATCACGGGCGATGTGATTGAAATCATGTTCGACACGGGCAGCAGTTGTTCGGGCGTGTCAAATCTTCTGGGCAGAACGAAAGGCCAAGTTCAAGAGCAAAGGAGCAATCTCGACAGGAATGTTGAGCAGCTCACTAATCTCGCGGATAGGCTAATCCAGAGCTAACTCATATTCTGGGCTCAGCCCTGAGAGCAATCTAGGTCAACTGATCAAACCATCGCACCAATCCGCATTCAGTTCCTCCGTGCTTGACGCTCGCTTTCTCAAGAAGTTCGACCGCTACACAAACCTAGGGACAAGATCCGAACTCCAAGTGTCTGACAGATTTCACAAATCCGTACTGCCATGTCCGCAGGACGCGAGTCGAAGGTAGCAGACGGGTCTCAATCAAACGACCGGAGTAGGATTGTACGTGGAAGGCTGAAAGCTAGGCATTGAACTTTCTGATCCAGACCGAACTTTTGGGCACCAAATCCTGAGCTGGGAATCAGTTCCTGAGCACCAACAGGATCCGTGCGTGCCTGTGAAAGAAATATTAGAAAATTCAGGATAGGTTTGCCAGAGGACCTTGTGCTGTTTGACTTGGGTACCTCGTTGAGCGGGAAGCAGTGCCAAGTTGCCGACGTGACGGCAGGGTGCAGGTCAACGACTGACTGGGTCTTGGCTCTCGACCACCACCACCACGGAGGACGAGGAGGAGGAGGATATCGTCAGGAGCTCGAGAAGGAAGTCACTGCTGCGTGAAAAGCCTTTCGGTTCCTGAAATTTGGGAAACCAGCGAGAGGTTCCTCCGACGGAAGGAAGCCGTAACACAAGAGTCGGATGTGGATCTACGGCGAGGCACAGTGGTCGGCACAGTGTGGCACGGATGTGACCCTCCTTTCGTAATGGAATCTCAGTTTCTGCATCCCACAGCGCGAAAGAAACACAGAGGCAGAGGCAGAGGAAGAGGGCACTCGTCTCGTGCGTCTCGTTCGTCGCTGGAATCTGACGGGACTGCTAGGATTGCATAGCCGCCGTGATTGTGATCGGAGGACCTCATGAGAGATCTGGAGGCTGCCTCGGATTAGCAAGGTCGGATTTGTTGGTCGCCATGGGAAGATTGCTGCTGATTGCGTACCTCGCGCAGCTGCTGCTGCTGGTGCTGACGACGGCGGAGGCGAATGGGCGCCATCTCTATAGTGAGAGGGACAGCGGTATGGTTTTATATGCCAGAGCTTTAGAACAATTAACGAGCTGAGGAACAGGAAATTTTAGTCTTGTAAAATTTTCTGATTCCCAACGGGCAGTAGCATTCTTCCCTTGATTGTTATGAATGCACTAGCGGACTTTAGTTGTGAATGTGCTCCACTCGATTCTCTGAGTGAGGCGACGATGAAGGAGACGTTTGCGTTTGTAGAAGCTTCGGATTCAAAGCTGAGTCTGTGTCTCCTTAGTGCTAAAAAGAGTCGATTTATGAGGTTTCTGAGCTTTTTTCTCTTGACTTCGAAACCAGTCGTACTTTCGAGATGGAGCAAAAAATGTTGCCTACCAAATCTCGTCCTTTCCACCTTCTGAATATGTTATATCCGACTGGACGCAGACCCTGAAGAAAAAGAGGTTCATTTGTATACCGAGGCTGCCATTGCCAGATTGAAAAATTTGACACCCAATACACCAGAATCTAAAGAAGATCTACACAAAGGTGCATTCCTTCTCTTCTCAATGACGTGATCGAAGAACACAGTTCGACGTCGTCTAGCTTTCTTGAACAGCTAGGCAGGATCTTGCTAGCTAGTTCTGCTATGGGCATCTCAGAAAAATAATTTCGTTCGTCATCAGTACCTACTTTGAAAATGCACTTCTGTAGTAGTTTTTTCTAGTCTTAATTTCAGTGCCTGCAGGCTATCGAAGTAATGAACAACTCTTCAGTGCCGTGGAAGAATTCTCTACGAGGTGTAGCAATATTTCCAGACTTTACAGGTACGGTCATTCACTTCCTTTGGAATGTTGTTAAACCTCAGTTCTGTGGATTTTAGACCTAGGATTCCACATGCTTAGTACTGCAGTTCCATCCATGTGCATGTAGCTTAAACCCCTATCCCAGTACACCGCTAGAACACATAATCTTGTTTACTCCTCCTCTCGACCTACGTGCTTAGCTCATACTCTCTTCAAACAACCAATATTTAATTTCACCAGCACACCTTATTTGATCGCAAGTTGCACTGGCGTCACAGCTCGGTATGATACTTAAATTTTAATATGATTGATGCGTATTTTCGATTCGATCCTTAGATTTTCAATTTTTTGATTTCTTTCTTCTTTTCAGCATCGGAGAAAGCGTTAAAGGCGTACCCCTGGTAGGTTTTCTTGGCATATTCTCCATACTCTGAGTCTTTTGTGGACAGATCATGCATTTCTTCCATGACCTTGAGCAACGTGTATCTTCTTGAATTTGCTTGTAATATCTTCTGGTAAACTAATATCATACTTCTCAATGGACAGTTGGTGCTGGAGATATCTGACAAACCTGGCGAGCTTGAACCAGAACCTGCGTTCAAGGTAAATTCCAGTCATTCAAGAAGCAAAGACCTGTCTAAACAAGATTCTTGAGGGTGTATGATGTGGGATAAATAGACGTTGCAAAAGAACATTTGTTTCACAGACAGCAGCATCAGCGGTTAACTATCTTCCATGTCTCCGTATATAGTATGTTGGGAACATGCACGGTGATGAACCCTCAGGACGTGAGCTTCTTCTCCTTCTAGCAGAATGGCTCTGCTCTAACTATCTCAAGGATCCTCTGGTGAGTGACCCTTTTGGTCAATTCTATGCCCATAATTCTGACCATTTCATTGCACATTGTTTCGCACTGTAATGAATTTCCTGTTAGGTTGAAATAGTAAATTGTTAGTTATCATCCACAAACAAAAGAATAAAGTAAATGTCACACAGGTGTTTGTTTTTACTGATTCTGTTCGTAGCTGATTTTTATCTTGGATAAAAACATCCAGGCAACCCAGATTGTGAAAGGGGTTCACTTACACCTTCTTCTGGCAATGAATCCTGATGGATTCGAACTAAGGGAACGCAACAACGCAAACGATGTTGATCTGAATCGCGACTTTCCAGACCAGGTAAATCTCTTCATTTCTATCTTCCGAGCTGGCAATTAACCAAAGAACTTGTATGTTTCTCTCACCTGACACGTGGAGGGATGTGATACATCATATAGAAATGAATCAAACGCATACATAGCCAGGCATAAGAAAAGTCGAAAGCTGTGCCCATAATTGTTTGCGTGTGATAGACCCAAAAAAGTCACTTTGATCTCATTCATTCAGATACGTTTTGCAGAAGATACAATCTATCTTCGTTGCGATACTATACAAAAGGAAATTTGCAATTTCTTGTTGTTTCTAGGATCTCTCGAGTCGCTCATCCGGCAACTGGGAGAAAATTGGATCCATAACAATTCTTCTGAAGACTTTTTGTTGCCCCCGTGCGGGAACCTCCTGGAATTCCACTGATTAAATCGCTTGGGGAGCCTCTTGAGAATGTGGACACCTCACATTTACACTATGGTGACCGCAGTTTTTTCCGGATAACAACAATGAATCAGCAAGACAACCGGAGACACGAGCCGTCATGGATTGGATAAGAAAGAACAGATTTACGGCTTCTGCAAGTCTACATGAGGTATATTGACGCACACAGTTTAAGTGTATGTAGCTAGTCAGCAGCTTTCTCATGCCAAAATGGAATCGACGCATATTATTTATTTTTATGTAGCTAGTCTCCAGCTTTCTCTTTCCATAATGAAATCTTGAATGCTTTCCGGAAACTTTTTGTGGACCACTTGGACTTTGAGCCTTTCATTCATTCTAACCTATTTACGTCGCAGATACTTATATATTTTGTTTGAGAAGCGTCCTACATCTTGTATCGATTAATTTCCCAGTCTTCTTTCCCACACCACGTTTGTGACTTTTGTCCTTCCATACTTAATTCGCTGTTTACTGTTTTCTTTTCTCCCTTCCACATTTTCCTTTTAACACATCCATACACTTCCTTTGATGCTTCATGTTACAATTTCATTTCATTATTGCCTTTGACCATATCTGGTTCGTAGTTTGATGATTGTTTCTGTTCTTTTCCTCTGCTTTACATTGTTTACGCCAGCAATCCATATCGTGGATCTGCACAGACGTAACAGAAACCCACACCCATGGTTGAAAACTGTAAAGTACAGTGAACGTCGCATATCAGGTCTTGTCTTGTCTGTGAGGTTCTAGGATACAGTGGGCTAGGATAACGAGAAAGGGATTTTGAAAAGATGGTTAAAATACTTAAACGGATTCTTTTCAAGTGACCAGATGTTGTGGAATTGTGGTGTGGTGCGTTGATACTTACCACCGTCCGGTTGTTTATACTTCTGTACTCATCGTCTTGTATCCGCACTGAAAATGTTGAACATATGTTGTTTTGAAGGTTCGAACTTGTGACTCTTCAGTCACAAGTTCTTTACAACTGACACATGCCTTTCAGTAATGTTTTATGCATGTCCTCAAACTGACAGTGTAACTTGTTTATGTTTTCCTTCAACTCTTGTGATCTGAGCAATGCCATCGAATTTCTTACCTGCATGCAACCAATCCGCGTTCTGGTCATCAGATCTGCATGCTGTATACTCTAACCATGTCGGGGTTCTTCTAGGTTTTACGTATATTGCTAGTAACACATTTGTCTAGAATAAGAAGACATTTGTCGATAATAGTCTTTCCTTGCTCCTCTTGATTTGTCACTGACAAAAATTGTGTTAGGCCTGTCACTAGCTCATCCGACGAATATTTTCTTTTAGAACCCAATAAAGAAATTCGAAATTGAGGTTTAGTTATGGCAGACATTAACCATGTCTGTGGCCCCTTTTTCCACAGGGAGCATTAGTCGCGAGCTATGGTTGGGATGGTACTGCAAGTGGAAGGTAGGATTAACACTCAGGTCCTCGGGCCAAAGCTGGCGTGAATAAGTTAGACGTTGTCATATTCATCACCAGAATTTATTCCTGTCTGCGGTCATATGATGATAAATTCAGATTTGATATATTTTCACAGCTATAAGAGAAGTAAGATGATTTATATTGGGCACATCATGTCCCTGATGCTCAGTTCACGTTAATTTATCTCAAGGCTCTACATTCTATTTCCTCCATGAACTTCAGCATGCGTAATCTTGAGCAAAGCAAATAATGCAGTGGAGTAGTTGACAGTACGCTTGAAACAAATCAAAGACTGCTAGGAATAGGAATTTGAATTAGTGGCTAATGATTTTTAGGTTCATATGCTGATGTCAGAATAGAGCAGCCTGAATTCGTTGTAGGAGCGCACTTCGTAGCATGGTCTTAGTTCAGGATTTAGTTCTAGTTCATGAGCATGGTACCTTGTTCGACGTGAACGCACTTCCTCTCTTGAAGGTGGATAAAGAATGCAGTTGAATAGGAAGATTAAATTGAGCATAAATGACAACGTGTGTTTGGGAAGGTGTAATTGAATACTGGTTCAATGCAACAGGACAGGCTATGCAAAAGCTCCTGATGATGGCGCTTTTGCTTACATGGCATCTCTTTATGCTCGGTACAATCCCGCAATGAGAAAAAATGGTGAATTCAGTGATGGTGTGACCAATGGAGCAGCTTGGTGAGTTTTTCCAACTCTATTGTGTCTAGGATTATTCTATTTTTTTTCTATTCACTTGTTTGTATGTTCACGAACTGAAGAAGAATATGAACAGGCAATTGTCCACCGTATGTTTTGTAGTCTATATTTTTTCTCAACAGCTCTTTCTTGAAATTGTGTGGTTGTGCAAGATAGGTATCCTCTTTACGGAGGTATGCAGGACTGGAATTATATTCATGGCAATTGTTTTGAAATCACTCTCGAGATGAATGATGAGAAGTGGCCTCACTTCAGCAAGGTATAGTTTGTACTGGGTCGTTATGTATTTTGACTTCGTAATACTGTAATACTGTCACCATGCACAATCTAGAGGACTTTTCAAAGATCCGGGGTATGTAACAATGTTTCACACAAACATGTAAATTCAAATTTTGTCACTGAATATAGGCCAGGGTTATTTTCTTGAAGCCTAAAATGGCTCTATGCTCTTGAGGCTTGGACTTGCAAATACTTATCAGAACATTGTACAAACGTTGCAGTCACTCTTCTTCCCGGTGATCAGTTGGAATGAGATCGAATGAAGCTCAGTAGACTGACAGGAAAGCTTGAGATGTGAGATATGATTGTATCTCACGAAGACGAAGATAAGATGCCAAGAACCGTTTGTAACTTCCAGTTTGCCTGTTCTTGTCTTTCTGCAGATACCTGCCATGTGGGATCAGCACAAGAGAAGCATGTTGATGCTCGTTGCAAGTCTTGTGAAGGTACTATCTTACTTCTAGGAACTCGTGGCCGTTTAGACTTTTAGTGATAATTTAGAATTGGAGGACTACCTGCTTTGGACTATTTATGCTCGAGGAGTTTTTCTTTCATATCAGTATTTTCACTTCATATCTGCTCACTGCCTTAAAGGTATGATACACAGTCAGGTGTGCATGGAAGGGTTAAATCTGCAAAAGATGCAAGGTCTATTCCAGCCGTGATAAGCGTGACGGGCAATAACCACGATGTGAGTGTCAATCTCTTAATTGTTGATGGAATTCCGATTTACTTGCTCTGAGCACACTGGCAAACCCTGCCCACACTAATTCTTGTTTTCTTGAACGACAGATCATAGCTAGTTCACAGTTTGGTGACTTTCATAGAATTCTTCCTCCTGGACGAACATATGCAGGTAAGACTTTCAAAACCTGAGATCGATTGACCCTTGTGAGGATTGGCCGACAAACTTTCTTCATTCATTTGTAGGGAAGTGTTGGAATTGTGTAACGATGTTCTGTTCTGTAAATGACACGTCTCGTTTTTTATCCACTTACTTTTCTTGTCACCTCTTTTGATGAAAAGCTTAGACTGGGCTCCTATTACCTCAAAAGTTTCAATTTTCGCTGCAGTTCTTGTTGCAGTTCTTCTTGCCTTTTACTCTTGTATTTCTACAGTCTCCAAACTGTCAGGACTAAGAGTCTTCCTTGGCGGATCTCATGACGGCAGACGATATTATGTATTCACATACTTTCGGCTTTCATATTTGCAGTGACCGCAAGCTCGCCTGGATATGTCAGCCGCACGAGGACTATAGCTCTCCCGAATGACAAAGCAGTCACTGTGGAGTTCCTCCTCGATCCTGTAACTACAAGTGACACAGCTCTAGGAGAGCATCCTCTTCTGCGGGGATCAACTCGGACCAGGCAAAAAGACCAAAGTTTTGAAGAGGTCGCGAGCAAGGAAACATCTGATCAGACTTTTTCTCGAAGCAAAATGTACAATGAACCAGATAAAATGTCGGACTCAATGTCGATGGAAGAGGCTGATTTAGTTTCGGGCTCCAACCTCGACCACTTAAGATTGTGGGTTATCAGCAGTTTTGGAGCGACCGTAGTCGTATTAGCAGCTCTTATGTATGTTCTGATCAGATGGAGAGGCTCATTTAGATCACATGTATTACGCCCTGCAACGAGAAGAATTTGATGCTGTGAGATTGGTCTCAGTTTGGCAGATTGACCCTAAACGTACAGATTTTGGCTAAATGGAAGCTTTCAGAATCAGCAGGGCTTTTCCGAGAGAATGCTGAAATACGATATCATTCATCGATGATCAAGCGTCCGAAGCACACATGCCCTGCCCTGCCATGCCCTGCGATGCACTGTTCTGAGCTGTCGGTTTGCGGACACAATTTTGCTACGACCTCCCATGAAAAGTGGTCTTGAAATCTGGAAACCCGCAGTAGATGACACTGACAAGCATTCTGGAAGTTTACGGAGTGTCCGCTGTAATCTGCCCATAGCAATTTCTGTACTATCAGACAATACATTCGGACAGACTAATCAATGAAAAGTACGTGAAAGTCTTCGGTCGACCTGCTGTCACGAGTCCTAAAATTTCACTTGAATCGAAGATTTTGTCCTCAATTCAGCTTGGAATTCCCGCGTATTCAGAGGCATTTGTTCCATTCTGTCGCGAACGGTGGACATCGCACTCCTAATATCAACGCTACGAAAGAACTACGAAGGACGCGAAGCAAGACCCTTGTATATTGAAGAGCCGTCTCGATATTCTCGAAAATTCGGTGCGGCGTGTAATTCAGTGTGTAAGATGTGTGTTGGAAACGATATGTTCGATGGTCTACTCTAATAAACAAGACTACAAGGCGATAGTCCGCAATTATATCTAAAAGAAGGTTCACTCACTGAAATCCCCTCTGTTTGTTGATATAAGAGGACCGAAAACGAAAAAGAAAACGAAAAAGAACACATGAGTGTGCTCTTCGACGCGAGTCAATATTCATAAAGAAGAGAAGATACAAAGCTTTTATCATTGAGTGAAAAGGGAAAACTGTGAAAGGTTGAAATTCTTTTATAAACATCAATGGTACTAAGTTAGTATACGTTATAATCTGATATTTGAAAAATATGAATAAATTGATTTGACATCCAATATATTGACGTGTGTTTCTTGTGGACATCAATGTATATCAAGTTGTCTTCCCATGAATGAGATGTTCAGATAGCGATGGAGATACCATTGATACATCTTACGGATTATAGAGAATCAAGTAGTAATGAAAAAAGTGTAACATAGTAATTTTGTGACTTTACCTCAAACGAAACAACATTGCCGTGGATTAGACGATGTTAGGACTTACATAGGGTATTGTTATGAGTATTTACATTTCTGTAGGTGATTTGTGATATGTACGTTTTCTGCTGGCCTGTGTATTATTTGTTATGACAACCACTTTACCTACACTATGATATATATATATATATATATATATATACCAAGTAACTTTTACTCAAATGAATGTCCTCGTGCAAAATCAAAATTATGGTAATGCCCAGGTGATGCAGTAATGAATGTCCAAGTAGCTTATCCGCGATGCAGGCAAAGGACTTGTCTACATAGACACAACAGAGTGATCTGCGGCCAGTGGTCAAACTTGCACTTCGCACGTGGAACTTGGGTCGACAATAAAGGTCGAGATTACAGAACCGAGAACCGAGAACCGAGTGAGATTGACATCGCAACGATAGATTGACAAAAGTGTGACACACTCAGGTGGAGATGGCAGACAGAGAATGTTCGAAACGAGGCCAGCCATTGTCAGAGACTTATCAATAAACAGGGATAATGCAGCCAGTTTGCCTCTTGCTAATACTCTCCCAAGGAGTTACTGAGCGCGGCATAGACGAGGAAAAGTGAAATTCGTGGTGCTCCATGATGCGTTTGACTTATCATGAGGTACACCATCCTCCAAAACTTCTAAATTTGAAGTCCAACAGTCACCGCTTCAGACTAGTGGGACGTCAACCTTCTCCTTTCTTGTGTATTGTGTAAGGCTCATGAGTACACAAGTCATTAATTCCTGTCGTAACAATGTTAGGAAACCCAAGGAGGGTTGCAAATCTCTGTAATTGTGGAACCAATCTCCGGCTTTCCACGTTCAGGAAATCCAACCGATGTCGCTCATTGACTTGCAGTCTTTTCTTTCCAGGAAACTCCAGCTTGTAATCCTCAAACGGGTACAGATATTATAATGGAGGTCTATGCTAGCTTGACTCGTCTTGAATCAGACCAGACCGCTTACGTAGGAAAAGCTGGAGCTAGCAAGGGAAGAAATTGTAACTGCTTCTAACACAATACAAGCCTCCTTCAGTGAAATTACAGACTTCCAAGTTTCATAATCAGACATCTCCACTAGAATTAAGAGGTCTACCCGATCCGTCCAAAACCGAACCCAATTTGTCTGTATGATCCCAAGGGATGCAGAACTTCCATGTAAGAAAGCATAATTAAGACTCGGAGCTTGGGAGATGTCTGAAGTATCCTCTTCCTCGGATTCACTGCAGACCTCTTACAATCCTTGGTAAGAACGAAACATTTTTCGTAACTTTCCTTCTCAGTCAAATTGTTGACGAAGTTGCATTTCCGTCTCACTCTTCCACGTTGCGTGCGAAGACTGACCTTTCATTCGCTTATTCTTCTCTTTGTCTTTAATTTTGGATCCACTACGTTTCTCAGCTTCCGCCGTCGAGGGTTTCCCATCTGCACCAGCAGGACGATCACCGCACAAGGGACAAACCATACTCTCTTTTGACCCAGAGTAAGTTTTAGGAACTCCGCACTTGACACACATCCTGTATTTCAAGACAAACATTATGCTCTTAGTAGGTGGCATCAGCTGATATTTCGTAGTAAACTCAGGAGATTGCACGCGAGAAGAAAGGCCTTATATTCCGTATATCGTATCTGCTCGATCTCTTCTTGAAGCCAACTGGACTTCGTACATCCCAGATTTGAGTGCCTCATTTACAGCAATCCATGCATTTTCGTGCAGTTCGCATTACAGCCAAGAAGAACTGGCAAACAACGCTAGTGTAAACTCAACAACATCATATCATCCTCTCCTGATTCAGAGACGAATCTCGCTAAGTAGTCATTTCTACTCGAGAGGAAAAATAATCTGTTGTAGCAGCTCAAGTTGGTGATAAAAGCAGTGAGAAGTATCATCTATTTTGAATATTAAGGTCTTGATCATTCCGAAATATACCTTAATAATGCGGCAGCATCTTCAGGAGGTGGCATGTTCACACCTGGAACTCTGCGAATATTGTCTTTACCCTCCATGGCACCATCTACCGGATCATTCCGCATCCGTTCGAGATCGTCCACCAAAACTGCCTTTGCTTGAATAATAGCCCCTGTCGAACCACTAACAATAAGAAAGGTTCCCTTTTCATCACAGGGTTGCATACACCATGCGAGTGAGAAGACCAGATTTTCTTATAATTTACAAGTGGATAAACGGTGTACTGATACGTGCCTGTTCAGTACATAATGCGCGTGCAATACTTTAGCACTGATAACTCTAATAGTTAAATCAACATATTGTCTCTGATTGTGTAAACCCGATTAGCCGCACACAAGGTGAATAAATCCACAATTAAATCCACAATTAAGTAACCTCATGAAGTTACACATACAACCCACAAGAAAGTGCGCAAGAATGCAGATCGGTAACCTCATCGCAACGCACCAGAGGCGAGATTTGTCTGCAAGTCTTCTGCAGCTTGCAAACCATTCGCAGAGTTGGGCGCAGAACGTGCTGTATCAGAAGCATAGTTCCAGTTGTCTCGTGGTCGAGAGTGTAAGGGCTCTGTGGCACTGCTCTTCAGGAACTCAGGAGGCCCTGTGACCTACAAATGGCCAATATAAATACGACGGTTTGCGCAAAGATAACCTTCATGAACGAATTCTAGCCTAGAATAAGTAAATGGCGTCAAATTTTGGCACATGGATTTGGGATCCGGTTGTACATACTTGCCTTTGCTGCAAAGAACAAAGCACAAAGAACTACCTCAAAAATAGAACCCACGGTGTGAAGGTTCACATCTACCAAACGTGTGGCTTTCAGAACCTCGGCAAGATTATATGCAATGATTGAGGTTAGAATGGAGGTATGAATGGAAGACCTTTTGAAACACATCGTCAGGAGATGGCAGAACGGATGCATTTCGCGGCTGTTTGATATCTCTAAGTAAATGTTCGTGAGCAGGCGCTGCATCCAATTCATGCTCGCTGTCTTCCTCACTATCAACAAACCTATTCTCTTCCTCCTCGGACGAGGAATAGTCTGCAACAAGTGCTAAACTCATATCTGCTTCACTGATGAAAGTACGAACAATAGATGGACGAAAGGTTAGAGTCAACGATTACGCAAGCTACGAGTAACAACGATTTATTATGTATCGACCATGTAATCAAGGTGTCAATTATATAATCCCAGAAGCAAAGTCGGTCGAACATTTATCACCACGTCAAAAAAATAAAATAGGACGCATTCATGTGAAGAAGAACCGTCTCTGAACATGATTACAATCAGCAGAACCCTACACTGGAAAACTTCAACGTCAAAGAGAAGACTTGAGACATCTTCTATTTCAGCAGAAAACAGAGATTCAGCACATCTCCAGATCATCCAAATCATTCTTGCCTGTGTGGAAAAACTTCCGTCAATGTACTCGAATGTGGTTTGCAGCTGGAGGACGAGCGTCCCAATATCCGGACCGAACAAAACGGGTATTAACCCCTAGAGACTTGTATTCAGACGCCGGCTCATGACAACGCACGAGCACCTCGTCTCCCAGTCGGAAGAAGAATCCTCAACCGCGACTCGTACACTGACTGGAGTTGATACTCTGACTCCGAACCTGACGACGTGGGCTACCATCCTTCGAATGCCGTCCTCCAGCAGAGTTCGCCGCTGCCGCCAAAACCAAGACACCCATCTTAAAGGCTATGGCAGAAGAGCAAATTAAAAAACAAACCCAAAAAACACCCTGAGCACCGAAATGGCTCAAGAGAGTACTCATCACAGTCGGAAATCGACAATCGACCATCGACTCAAATCGGGGGCACCCTGAAGATTGTCGTCCTCTGTTGTTCGCGTGCGCTGAATCGAGGGATCCGACGAAACAGAGTAATGCCCCGTCATCGTTGGCGTCCGACGTGGATGGGGAAGGATGACGGGGCAGAGAATCTTGTACAAAGGGCGAGCGGACCGATGTTCTTGTGAGCAGCGCAGGAACGAGAGCGCGGGACCGAATCGAATGGCCGTCCGCTGGTTGAACCTGAGCCTGAGCCGATATCCATCTCATCATCCTTCTATCGGCTGACATCTACGACGGTGACGCGGACGGGGACGCGGACGGAGGGAGAGCGCCGTCTGAGAGCGCAGAGGAGCGTCGAAGGCTATCGATGAATGTCGTCACGAGCGGGGAGCGCAGCAGCACCACGAACGCCCGAAGCAAATCAGAGCGGCGCAAAGCGAAGCCGCGCCAGGCTGCGCCACGCCACGCGAAGCCGAGCCGAGCCGAGGCGTCGCTGAGGTGACGACAAAGTAGCGTCGGGACGAAGCGAGCGGAGGGAAGGGCCCGCTCTTTCTTCTTCTCGCTCCTCCGCCATGTACACAGCTTCTTGCATTCGGTAAGCTGTTCAGTGTCCAGATCCGAATTCCCAGTTGTCTGATCAGAGGAGACCGGAAGAGCTATGAGGTGCGTGGTTTTGAATTTGGTGAATTGGGAGCAGCGCGCGAGTTTGGGGAAGTGGAGTAGCTCCTTTTTTTTTCCGGCCTAATTCGTAGTTCACATCGCGGTCAGCTTGAGCTTGTGACTCGTGGTCAGGGTTTTGTGTGGGATGTGGAAACTCTAAGGGCGAACTCTGAATTGCTCGGGGTAGTACGCTTGAACCCGTTTCAATTGACAGTGAATTCTGACTGGGATTTGTGAATTTGCGTTGCAGTCAGGTGCTATGCGAGCCGAGGTTCTTGGTCGCATTGAAGTCCGGACAGTCAGCTTTGAGTTTTGGTCGCTCGGGCGCTGGACCATGGCAGCCCAGGATCCTTGTTGCATACAAGGCTCATGGCCTCAATTCGACGCCCTCACCTGATGGATACTCGTCGCTCAAGAGCAGGAGGAGGTTGATTTGGTCTGAGAAGGCTCTTGTTAAGTTGTCCACAGATGGCAAAGCTCAGCAATCAAGAACTTTGGCATCACTGGCAGCAGATCAAGAGACGGTTGCTAAAACGGAGTCCGAGATTGAAATACCTGTTTCAGAAGAAGAGATCAGGCCTGTTGTTCTTCCCACGAATGACTCATCTCAAAAGTTGCTACAAATTCGTCATACAGTAAGTACTGCAACGAAGAAACAGGTCACTTCTGTGATGGATATGGAACACTTGTTGAAATTATTTTCGCAGTTCCAAATTTACATCGTAGAGTAGGTCTCCCTTCAACAACGCTTGAAGGGACAAGTATGGGTAGTGGAGCTTCTCAACATGTGTCTGTAGACTTCTGCTCCGCAAAGAACATGGAGAAAACGGCAAGCAAATGGCAAAATTTTGCAGTCAATTGAGAATTTTCACATGTCCCGCATTTTCCATCTGCTTGAACAATTTCTGAACTGTGTGTTTTCTGTGTGTATGTGTGCATTTCAGAGTGCTCATGTCATGGCAATGGCTGTCCAAAAGTTATATCCAGAAGCGCAGGTTACCATAGGCCCTTGGATCGAAAGGGGATTTTATTATGACTTCGACATGAAGGAGCCTTTGGCTGAAAAAGATTTGAAGAAGATCAAAAAAGAAATGGTGAGAATATATCCTTCTCTGCATTAGCTAATTGTATTTCGTGTAATGCTTAGGCGCTCTTAGCTTACATTTTCCACAACTTTTCGGTTCTTGGTGAAGTATGCCATGTCTTTACTATTTGTGATCAGTGATCTTGAAGCTCTTCCAAACCAATTACTTTGGAAAGGAAATGTCCATGAGTTGAAGCAACTTGCAACATATTCACAGCTGGGTAAAAGGTGCACTTTTTGTTCAAAGGGAATAAATCGGAGTGGACTCAACAATTTTTCGTTATCTGCAGGATAAAATTGTCGGTCGTAATCTTCCACTGAGGAGGGAAGAAGTATCTCGAGAAGAAGCTGCGCGTCGAATTAAGGCGATCAATGAGCCTTACAAGCTCGAAATTTTAGACAGCATCAAAACCGAGCCAATCACAATCTATCATATAGGTAGGCTTTCATTAACCAATCCTGCAGACATGAGCTTCCCGCAGAATTTGGAATGGCTGGATGGATTTAAAGGTGATTGTTTGATTTCGTTCCTGCCCTTTTCTTTTGCAAGCCACAGCGTACTCCCTCCTCCTTACTAGTATCTTACTTCTACTACTAGCGTAGACCCATGACGTACGGAAATTTGAAAATCTTTAATTACTTTTTGATATTGGCATACGTAAAAGTAGACCACCAAGGGTTACGTTTTCAATGTATCTTTTTTAGGTTATTCTTGGGTATGTCCCGAGGCACGCTAAAGACCTTTGCAATCTTGCCCGATATCACAGTAACAAGGTTTTCCCGCAAACACAGGAGACGAATGGTGGGATTTGTGTGCGGGACCTCACCTGGAGAGAACAGGTCAGATACCCCGTAGAGCACTTGAGTTGGAGACCGTTGCCGGAGCCTACTGGAGAGGAGATGAGAAGAGAGCAATGCTGCAACGAATATACGGGACTGCCTGGGAAACAGAGGAACAACTAAAAGCTTATCAAGTTCAAAAGGAAGAAGCAAAACGTCGTGATCATCGCCGGCTGGGTCAAGATCTTGGTTTATTTTCTATCCAGGTACTTATGATGTAACTAGTGAGCAATTGCATGAGATGTTAAATCATGGTGTTAGAGTTGTCAAAGAAAATTGATGTTAAAGATTGCACATTTCCCTTCATTGACTTCGCTAAAGATGGTGACTTGTTGTTTGTATTTACTTATCTCTGCGAACTTGCAGGAAGATGCCGGTGGAGGTTTAGTTTTTTGGCATCCCAAAGGAGCTATGGTTCGCCACATAATTGAAGAGTACTGGAAGAAGGTTCATCTGCAGCGTGGTTATGAACTGCTGTATACTCCTCACGTGGCAAAGTTGGACCTCTGGAAAACAAGTGGTCATTACGATTTCTACAGAGAGAACATGTACGACCACATGGACGTAGAGGACGAACTTTACCAACTTAGACCCATGAATTGTCCTTGTCACATTCAGATATACAAGGATGTCCTTCGCTCGTACAGGGAATTACCAATGCGAGTTGCTGAATTGGGTACAGTATATCGGTATGAGAGGTCTGGAGCGTTACATGGACTTTTTCGTGTCAGGGGATTCACTCAGGTCAACCTCTACTTTTTGGAATGAGCAATCATTATTGTTTTACTGGTTTTGCGTAGTTCCAGTCTACACTGTTATTGTCTGCGCTTACGAGTTGGACCAAACTGAGCTTAGTGAGAGAAGCTCAACAAACTTGGTTCATGTCGTATGTGCAGGATGACGCACACATCTTCTGCCTCCCAGATCAAATCAGAGAGGAGATCAGAGGCGTGTTGGATCTAACTGAGGAGATCCTTACAACGTTTGGCTTTAAAAATTATGAAGTCAACCTCTCTACACGACCGGAGAAATCTGTTGGAGGTGATGATATTTGGGAACAAGCTACGACTGCATTAAGGGAAGCATTGGAAGATAAGGGTTGGAACTATTCCATAGACGAAGGAGGTGGTGCGTTCTATGGTCCTAAAATTGATCTTAAAATCGAAGATGCTATTGGACGGAAATGGCAATGTTCCACGGTCCAGGTATGAGTTAGTCCTGCGAAAGTGCTTGAAATGCAATCAGAATGCTTCAGAAACTACCACCATGTTTCAGGACATTGTCGTTTGTTCTCGATTATTATTTCTTTTCCGTTGTGGAGTTCGGATGATGACGACTACGTTCTCTGCTCATACAGGTTGATTTTAACTTACCACATAGATTCAAGCTTTCCTATGTGGATATGAATACCCAAAGGAAACAGCCCATTATGATCCATCGTGCCATTCTGGGCTCCATAGAGCGGTTCTTTGGGATACTCGTAGAAAACTATGCTGGAGACTTCCCGCTGTGGCTAGCACCCATGCAAGTACGGCTTCTTCCTGTGACGGATACCCAGGTAATCTCATTGTTTTTATCTATTTGATTTGTCTGGCTGTTGTTTATCTTCTTTCCGTAACCTTCGTACTCGACTCGGAACATATATATTTAGCCAGTTTTTTATTTTCAAGTTTATAGTACCTACTATTTCTCCGTTGAGGACCAACATTCATTGAGATGTGTACCATAATGTGATATTTTTGGGCTGGAGCAGGTGCCGTACTGTAAGGACGTTGTAGCAAAACTTAAGGCTTTAGATATTAGAGCGGAGATTGCATATGGAGAACGACTAGCCAAGTTAATCCGTAATGCGGAGACTCAGAAAATCCCAGTTATGGCGGTTGTCGGACCTAAAGAAGTTGAAGATGGAACGTTGACAGTGCGGACGAGACATGGTGGAGAGCTCGGAAGTATATCTGTTGACCACATAGTTGCCAAAATACAAGCCGCTGTTGCCTCGAGAGGCGTTTTGTAACTTTTCACCTCTTCCAATTAAAATCAATCTTATTTATAGCAGCTCTTTACAGCTTTCATTCTCTACATGATCATGCTTCGAAATCCGAATCCACGTTGTTAAATAACTTTGTTTCGAAAGAGGATAAATATATCGCCGGTGGTCGACGTTAACATTGATGTGGTGAGTCAATCACTTGTAGTTGCTGCGCTGTTGGAGCCTATTTCGTTAATGTCAATAACATCATACTCTCTAGGAATTACAAATTTCTGATATGAACCTATGTAAAAGATGAACCAATTACATCCAACCATATGCGTTAATTTCACCTGTTTGTTTTGATAAATAGGACCACCTTACAATCACTCAAATATAAACTACTCTTCCGATTGGCAAAATCGCTCCCAAAGGTAACTGAGCTCCATGTAAATCGTTGTAACTCCATGTTAAGTGGGAAATATTTGTAATCAATGTTAGATATCGCTCAATGTAGTAAAGATTCAACTCTACCTTGATTTGAATACAAGTTTGGTTCTTGAAAACATGAAGCCTCAATTTGAAAGGCACTGTGTCTTGTGTCAATTGAACGTTTTGGAACACTAGACTGGAAAATGCAAGATGAAATGAGAACTGGCCTTTACATATTTGGTGACGCTGTAGGATCTGATAGTCCGTTCATGAATCCATTCTGGAAATTTTCTCACTTCAATGAGGAAAGCCACTAATAGTGGACAAGTGTTGCAGCACCATGCAAGTGGTACTCAGACTGTAGAAGAAGAACGTCTCCACCCTTGATGAGGATGCAGGAGTAACCGCGGCATCTCCTTCGAAGAGTACAATGTCGGGATAGGCTTTATCTGGGGAATACATCAATCACCGAGAGCACTGGCGTATACGTGGTATGGTCAGATTTTGCTGAGCGTTTCTCCTTTCTCACCAACACTCAGTTGAGCTAAATAGAAATCGAAAGATCGAAGAGTTTGCATTTTACAATCGCCATATATATATGACTCCATGTATCCAGGAAAACTTACACCAGAGAGGAGATAGGAGCCAAAGTGACTTGAAATTTCGTTCATGGCTTCGCCAATTGCTTTATTCAGGTAATGTGCTGAATCAAGATAGAAAATCTTGTATTCTCTGCCTTTCACATTTCACGACTCACGGTAATAAGAGAATAACGCGGAAGGAGTAAAATAACGACTTCTTCTAGAGCAGACATCGCCACTCAAAGGGTCTGTAACCCGCGTCCACTGCAATTTTGTTTGAGCGCATGTTTGCTGTTGATATATCTTTCAAAATGATAAGTACTATCCTGTGGGTGAAAAATGTAAACCGAGGAAGCTTGTGATAAGTGAACAGCTATGGATTTAAAAATCTTGGCTACTAAAGAATACTTCCTGATTACCTCCCTTTTGGCTTTTTTCTCAACCAGCAGTAATTTGTCAAAGGAAATGTTGACTAGAGAGCGGCAAAGCTATGAAAAAATAGGAAAGATACTTCTGAATGAAAACCCAATGCAAAGGAATTAATCCAACCGCTGAAGCCCGTCTCGGATGGCTTGCTGGAATGCCTTATTGTGTAGGATAAAAGAAGACACATGGCCACCAGTCACCCACCGCACCTCTGACTCAGGCCATGCATCATGCAGCTGTTGTACCGAGTGCTTTGGAATGTAGCCATCATCCTGATTAAAAAAAATAAAATTACTTCAACATTAAAAGATACACAAGTCGCAGGTATAGTGATGGACAGCATGAGTGACTTCCAGCTAGTCTTCAGAACCCAGGATGCAGAATTATCACAATGATGAAAGGCATGTCAGGATTAAGGAACAGGTTACGATTTGATTCATCGGCGACACAGACTGCTCTAAGATATGGTCATTGGTATGGAGTCAACCAACACAAAAGGCTAGCTCTGCATCTAAAAAGCATCCTAAAACGGGCAGCTCTGGTTAATAAGCAGAAGGAAAAACATTCCCGTAACAAATCGCTGGGTGTAATTCAGCAACAAACTATCAATATACATTGCGATTTGGCGGAAAAAAATTGCTCTTAGTAGAAAACCTGTACAGGACATTCTGACTCATGTTCGAAAGGAGAAAGAGATGGAAAGACGATGGACTTACGGTAGCTGCAACAAAAATAACTGCTTTAGGATTCTTCGGGATGGGAAACTTGGTCACATCAGTGAGGGAGAGTATCGTACGCATGCGCTCCATAGTTTTCTCCAGAGTCATGCCTGTAGCTGCAGCTTCATCTCGCATTAGCACATCCCATGCTGTTCCATATTGTAAAATACCTTCGCAGAAAGCCGCAGCCGCAGAGTGAGGTGCAAGTAAAGGCAATATAGCCAAGGGTGTGGGGTGCAAGGAGCCCACCATGGCAGCATGAACGCCTCCTGGTCATAGAAGAGTACCTGTGTGAGTGAATCTTTTTGAAGTGCCACATGATCAGCCCCCAACTAAGTTACAAACAGAGCAGAAAGTGCAGAAGCTACTCACTATACTCAAGCCAGTAGATAATAACAGTAAGAAAGACAAAGAGACAAATCCATGTCGTTACAAGGTCCTGCGCCGCATACAAAAAGAAAGGAAAAGGGAAACAAACCCATGCTTAGCCCACAGACACCAAGTTTCCCATAACCTTCCTCCTTGTCCAGCCAGTGCAGAAGTGATCGTGTCTCCTCTATTGTGGCCCTCCCAAGCAACAGCAAGTCACTCACACAGAGCAGCCTCGCACCTCGCTGTAGTTTAGGCCGTCGATTTCCATAATAAGGGCTGGACCCACAATAATTCAAGAGCCATTCTTACATACGGAACATCTAAAAACACAGCTTTCAACGCCTTTCCTTCATCCTGGTGAAAATGTCGTGGGACTTCTATTAGTTTTCCAAACTACTTCGAGGTTCCAGAACGACTAGATTATTGATTGGTAGAGCTAATTGAGTAAGTTGTCTTTATGAAATCTGGGCCCTAGAGAACCTGATGGTATGATAGCATCCGCAACCAATCTCTTTTGCATTCCAGAAAAGGTTGATGCAGACAAAAGGCATGAATCTGAATCTACTATAGAAGCAACATACTACATAACGATATCATCTCCGGTTCGTTACTTTTTTTCTAGAGTCGACTCAATCTAAAGACTATATTGAAGCAAACCACCACCAACACAGATGTGATTTTACCTTTCGAGGACCAAAGTCGCGATATTCTCTTTCAGCAAAGGACCGCCTATCCTCAATCTCCTCTCAAATCCGTGATCTCCAGTACCTGGTGTATAATAGGATTCCGTGTTAGGCTAGTAAAATTTTAAGTAAAGTATTTTAGCTTCGAATCTAACAAATTTTATTTCCCAATGCCTTGTACTATGTTCTCAATCAAGTATCTGACACGGCATCATCAGATCAAATTTTGAAATTTCCGGCGTGGCAGCTCTGGAGGGGTTCAAATTTGATGAGTGTGTCGAGCAGAAACGAGGCGCATTATCACTGCAATTTTAAGCTGGTGATATTGATGAAATCTAAAGGTGGTTGGACGAGCACGAGAAGATGAAGGGTACCTGCAAGGTGAACCACACATGAACTTCTGTGCCGCGGAGCATTCTTTGGAGTAAGCAGGCGCACGCGCGCAGTTTGGCTCTCAAAGGGGAGAGCTCGTCTTACGAGCTCCTCGCATGGGGTAACAAAAATCCCTTCCTGCAATTTAGCAGTGCGAGATTCCCAAACGGTCTTCCATATGGGTCGCACGGCTGGAGGAGGCCAATGCTGAGCCGAAACCTGTTGCAGCCCCTGCTGGAGAAGCTGTCTCGTTATCTGTTCCAACAAAACCATATTCTGGCCCCCCCATCCACCGGAGAAGAACTGCGGTGCCAACCGCAATCGGTGCATGATAGTCCCATACAAATGATCCAACAAATAGTGCGCGAAGCCTAAATTCACTGCCACCATCTTCCACCACTTTCGACTTCACACAAACTCAAAAACTACAAGAAAAGCATTTTGTTCCCCGAAATCCGATCCGCAATCACCACCGTTCCAACCTACATCCACGAAAAGGCACCGTCAAATAAACCTCGCAGCGATAAAACGCCTGCGCGAAGAAGCCGCTCGCTCGATCGCCAGAGCTCTCACTTCATCCTCCTCCTCCTCCTCCTCCTCTTCATCGTGCCTCTCCGCTCTCCGCTCTCCACTGTCCACTCGCAACAAGAACTTCCCAACGGGCCTCTCGTCCTCGACATTCTTTCGGCCCTGACGGGCCGCGGGCGAAGACGCTCGAGGTGTAAGGACGCGCGCGCACTCCCGACAAGAGAGCGCGCGTCGACGATCGGACTCCCTCCCCCCGAGGGCCGCATCCGTCGCCGACGACGACAACAGAGCAGAGCGATGGCGCCGGCAGACGTTGCGACCGCGGCCCTGGCTGGGTGGGGCCCAGTCGCAGGGCCCTCGGACCTCGGAAGTGACCGACGGGCGAATGGGGGAGCGCAGAGGCGAAAACCGGTGACGTGGCAACGAGAAGCGCCAGTCAGCGGGCGCTCGATTTGCCCGGTCCACTCAGCACCTACTGGCATCGTTGTCATCCGAGCTACCGGATAAGCTCGACGACCCCTGTGCTCCTGCTTCGGCACGCTCCTTAATCCATTCCATGTCTGGTCGTCGTCCGAGAAGCGTGAGCTCTCCTCTCCGCCTATCGGAAGGCAGAAGGCTTAAATCGATGGCTGCTTCGCTCACGACAAATCCAGTTGCCCAGCAGAGCGAACACCGTGGTCAGCAGTTGCAGCCAGGCGATCACGTTTCGTAGCCTTCATTGAAGCGTCCCTTCTGAACGTGCTTCATCGAGATCTGTCTCCTAGCGGGCTTGAGACGTCTGTGCATGCCCTCTTCTCCCATTGCTAAGCTCATGGTCCCAAATGCAGTGAATGTCAGATGATGAGTTTCAGAAAGGTTTTCCGAAAATTGAATGAAGAAAACAAAGTCCCGCGCAATGGTGTTACACTTGGTTCGGAATCAAGACATATTTTTATTATTTCTATTAGGGCCTGCTGGCGGACGTTGATTAGATTATCATCCTGCTAAAGAACACGTTCATTGTAGACATTTCCTTCTTGTGTGGGTCAGTTCAAGGGGCTATAACAGCTCGTTGTCTTCTTTGTAAAGCTTGATGTCTCTTCTTTTATCTTTACAATTAAAGTTAAAATTTCCTTTTACCTTAAAAAATCATATTGAACAGAAAACACATGTTTATACATCTTTCATGCTTAGAATTTGAGTATTACGATGTATTATTGTTTATACTACTTTCTTAATGTTGCATCTTTTCTCTTTCACTTCTACTTTTATCATGCATGAAGACAAATTACAGACGAATTATGAGAATTCTAATAAAATCATTCAGATGAAGAGCGTTGAATGTGTAAGATTAATTTTTTCTGAAAAAAAAAATTATTTTCAGTTTTTTGTTGGATGATAGAATTTTTATGAAAATATTATTGTAATTTTGGCCACTTGGAGATTAAGCATGTTTGTTATTTTTTTATTATTGCAGAGAGATTTATCTTAAATATATATACAAATTATGTATTATACGATTATTAAATTAGGACTATTCTATGTCATACAAAATGAATTTCTAATTTTTAACATATAATACAAGCGCTCGTATTTCATCCTTGTCTGTTGATTGAATTGGAATTTTACCAAAATACTTTAATGGCTAAACTATCCAAGTAGATTTTACCTTTTTTTTCTATGTGAAGTGCAAATCTCAAGCATCTATGGTGTGATATTTGAAAGGAGAATAAAGATGCATTGTAGAGAAATATGACTGTAAACTCTCATTAGTTGAGTATGGCCTATCATATTATATTTTTATTTTTGATGAAAATTGATAAGGTAAAGTTTTTGAAAGCATAATTATTCATTTATATAAAAACCTGAGGTAAGTGTTAAATCAACCGAGAAGTCTAATAGGTTTAAGCAAGAAGCTCATCATTTCAGAACTACAGCATTTGAAGCAGAATAAAATTAAAAAAAGCACATGTTTAACACAAAGTGATCAAAAGATCAGAATTTTAGTCATCAGTTATGATATCTTTTTTATATATTATGTAACTTTATAGCTAACATGTTTCAATTATTATATAGAGAACATATTTACACATGACTTTTTATCACTTAACAGAGTATTTCAATTTTTGAGCTTTCTACTTGATCACTTCTTAAGATCTACAATTATCTTGAGTTTTTCATGTTATCAATGGTATGCATTTGAATAGATGAAACTTATTGCATCCACCACACACATTGACATATTTGATTCAAACAAGACAAGTTATCTGTGCTTTGTTACTTAATATCAATAATTTATTAGAATTGCAATGATCACTTTGTACAACTACTTGTTTATTATCAAAGTACTAAATTATAAACAATTTAGAATTCAGGATTTGCAATTAATATCACCAAGACACTTGTTTATGTAATCGTTAGTAGTAGCGGTTAGCTAATCTGTAAGCGAACTTCTATCTAGCTAGTTACTTACTACTATCTAACTAATTACTTACCTACCATATCCACATCATGCTTTTAGAGAATGTTATTTCTAACATATTACCTTGTCCCTTGACATTTGAAAGTGTTGGAATTGCTAATACTCCCACAGATGTTTAATTGATTGTAAACTTTCTTACGTCGAGTGATTTTGTCATCTCTTGGTATGTAATTGACTTGTATGTATCATGATTCTACTTTTTTCCTTATATATTGATGTTGAATTTTTATGTGCTTTGTTTTGGCATGCAGAACAAGACTCGTTACTACTTTGATGCAAGACTAATTGTCACTTAGAAATAAGGATGCTTCTTCTTTGCATAATTTTAGCTTTGTTAGTAATCAAAGTATTAAAACAATGTCCTTTGTAGCCTCAATAAATGTACGATATTTAGGTTCAGTAATTGACATGGTCACCGAAGACAACAATTTGCTAGTTCAGTCATCATGGTACTATGAAATGAAGCTTGTGAAAAATTCAAGTTGTTAACCTCTGAGTTCAACATACTTTTCATGATCCAAATTTGACAAAAATATGATATTTCAAATCTCTATACTGCTTAAAATGAAGATCTCAATTTATTATTTCCTTCAAATATTGCAAAATTGACTTTGCAACAAGCAAATGAATCTCTCATGAATGCTACATATATCAACACAGTTTATTTACTGCAAAGGTTATATCAGATCTTAAGATCGTTGCAATAAAGAGAAGTGATTCAACCAGTGACTTATATAATGTAGCATCAAATACTGATGTTGTAATATGACGTTGTAAGTGCAATCTAAAAACCGTTGGAAAACAAATTGAGTTACAGGTCTCCAAGTTAAATTTTCTAAAAGTTTTTGTATAAAATTTTGTTGATGCACATAGATTCTAATTTCAAATTTGCTCCAATTTTGCCTTAAGTATAGCTTTGCATCATCCAAAATTGTCATATCAAATTTACTTGTTATAATAATTTCAATCAATATGATTGAAATTATTCCAACAAGCAACAAATCATCAACATAGACTAATACAATAGCGTACTTGTCATCAATGACTGAATGGTACATATTACTATAAATTGTGCTTTTTTTGATTTCATGTTGTGTTAAAGAGAAATTAATCTTCTCATACTAAAACTATACTGCTTATTGAAACCCATGAAAAGCTTTCAAAAGTTTACACACTCTAACATCTTGAGATACCTCAAAAACATCTAGCACATACATGTATACATCTTAATCTAGCTTCACATTTAAGAAGTTGTTTTAACATCATGCTTCCACTTTTTTTTGCAACTAAGGAAAGTAAAGTAAAGGAAAGTAGATTAAAAAAGCTAAGAAAAATATTGCTTGTATTGTGTATCATTTTATCACTAGAGCAAAGGTATCAAAAAGAGTCTACACACTTTAATTTTTGGAGTTCTCTAGCAACTACATTGGCTTTAAGCCTCAAAACTTCTCGTGACTTTCCAACTTTGGTTTTTGGAGTGACTCTAAGGGGCGTTGTGTGAACTATCTTCCATGTTTGATTCTTGTTGATTGATTCAACTTCTTGATTCATTGCAGCTCTCCAACTTGCACTTGTCATTGCTTGTAGAAATGTGATTGGATCTTCATATGTTGTCAAGGTTCATGAATAATCTTTGAATCTGAAGTTTTGAGCACACTTAGTAGGCATAGGACTTCTTTGTTGTCGTTTATAAATCCATGAAGCTGAAAACGATTTAGTTTCATGAGTTTTTGCTTTGAACTATATGCTCTCTTCATCAATAAATTTTTTATCATTGACTTTTGAGTTTTGGATATCAGACACATATATGTGTAAGTGATGTTGAATTTGATATCATTTTTTCAATTTCAACTTGTGTTTAACATGAAATAGAGCTTGATATCATTTTTTCAACTTCAATATGCTTATTATCATGTCTAGAAAATACCTAAAAAATGTATTCTTCACGTGTATGAGCATTTTTCAATTAAAAAACCGAATCTATATTCATCGATAACAACATCTCTAATGATAATAACCAGGCCTCTCTATTTACGGGTCTCCCGTAAATACCGTAAATAAGCTATTTACGGGACGAGGTCCGACCTTAAATACAGTTATTTACGGGTCCTTAATTAAACTACTACGAAGAGCGAAAGCAGTTGGGACAGCTGAATATCAAAGGACCGTGTTTGTATTCATTGTCTCTGCTTAGAACGTAAGTTTTTGCAGAAGCTTGAACTGCCTTGCGTGCATCATGCCTTCCAGGAAAAAGTCTGTCAAGCTCATCCGCTGGATGTCTTTTTCCCATTTTAGAATGGAGAAGTCGCGCTCTACAGAGGACGTTCCCGGAAAAGTGCTTGTCAGTCCACCACAAAACATCTCCAGCTTCTTGAATCGACCACTTGTGAGTTTCCAGGCCTTGCTGAAGGGCGTTTGGTATGTACACCCGTCCAATGCATTACGGAAGGGCTCTTCATTGCGGTAAGCATTTTTGAGATCACGGAATTCGGTTTCAATGTAGTCCATTGTCGCTTCTGCAGAAATAGGGGCCCAACGAGCAGCAAGACGTTCACTTTGTGCGCGTACAATAGCGATAAAGTCACGTCCATTCAGTGTCACCAGCTCGTGCGGCAGCACGGGTGGCAACACGTCTAAGGAAACGCCATTCAGGGAGT